GAATTTAAATCTACAAGTCTGGTGCAAACCCGAGCATTGCTTCAATTCACGCAGTTCCTTTCATTGTCTTTTCAAATAGGATGCTATATTATTTGGACAGAGGATTTGGTTTTGGAATTTCTCATTTCAATTTGTAATGCTATTTCCTCCAGGAAATCCTTGATCTCTCTTTCTTCTCTGAATTACCTAGTTGTATCATGTTAATGTATCCCTATCTTAAGCCTCCTTAAATTCTGTTTACATGCCTTATATTCCTTTAATTTGAAGACTTTTGAGAAACATAACTTTTTTTTTTTAGTAGGCTGGGATACATAGTGTAATGCAAAATTATATGGAAACTTTCATGTGCAGTTTAAGGGATAATAAAGTGAATAATTTGTCTACCCACCATCCAGGTCATTCTACATCCCAGAAGTTCTCTGTATGCTCCTCCCTAGTTGAATTCCCTCACTACTTCCAGAGATAACAACTATCCTGATTTTTGTGTTAAGCATTCTCTTGTTTTTCTTTATAGTTATTGCCTATGTTTACCTAAACAACATATTGTTTAGCTTTCCTTGTTTTGAACATAAAGTTTGTGAATTTCTACCAAAAAAAAAAAATCCTGCTGTGATTTTGATTGGGATTGTCATCCCTTCTAATCTGGAAGCTCTTATTTTATTTTTCCCCCATATTACACTGGCTGAAACCTCCATTAAAAGTTAGAAAGAAATGGTGAGAGTGGATATCCTTACCTTGTTTCTAATCTTAGGAGGATATCATTCAGTCTTTCATCTTCAAGTATGGTATCAGTTATAGGTTTTTCATAGATGTCCTTTATCAGATTAAGGAAGTTAATCTTCTATTCCTAGATTGCTGGGAGTTTGTTTTTTATTGTGATAAGATATATATAAGAAAACATTTTTCCCATTTTAGCCATTTTGAAGTGTACAGCTCAGTAGCATTAGGTACATTCACATTGTCGTGCAGCCATAGCCACTATCCGTCTCCAGAATTTTTCATCATCCCAAAATAAAACTCTGTAGCTATTAAACAATAAATCTCCATTCCCTTCTTCCAGCTCATGGTAACCATCATTTCTATGAATTTGCCTATTCTAAGTAACTCATATAAGTGAAATCATACAGTATTTGTCCTTTCATATCTGGCTTATTTCACTTAGCATAAAGATTTCTAGGTTCATCCAAGTTGTAGCACAAATCAGAATTTCCTTCTTTATTAAGGCTGAATAATATTCCATTTTTGTATGCATATACCACATTTTGTTTATCCATTCATCCATCAGTGGACACATGGGTTGCTCCCATCTTTTTTGCTATTGTGAATAATGCTGCTAGGAACATTGGTGTACAAATATCTGTTCAAATCCCTGCTTTCAGTTCTTTTCAATATATACTCACAAGTGGAATTGCTGGGTAATATAATAATTCTAGTTTTAGTTTTTCGAGGAACTGCCATACTGTTTTCCATAATGGCTAAATCTTTTACATTCTCTTCAGTAATGCACAAGGGTTCTAAATTCTTCACATCCTCACTAAAACTTATTTTCTGTTGTTTGTTTTAAGTAATAACTATCCTAATGGATGTGAATTGGTATCTCATTGTGGCTTTGATTTGCATTTCTCTAATGATTAGTTAGCATCTTTTCATGTGCTTATTGGCCATCTGTATATCTTCTTTGGAGAAATAGCTATTCAAGTCCTCTGTCCATTTTTAAATTGTGTTGTTACTACTGTTGTTGCGTTTTTTTGTTTTTTTTTTTTTTTGTGGTACGCGGGCCTCTCACTGTTGTGGCCTCTCCCGTTGTGGAGCACAGGCTAAGGACGGGCAGGCTCAGCGGCCATGGCTCACGGGCCCAGCCGCTCCACAGCATATGGGATCTTCCCGGAACGGGGCACGAACCCGTGTCCCCTGCATCGGCAGGCGGACTCTCAACCACTGCGCCACCAGGGAAGCCCTGTTGATGAGTTTTAAGAGTTCTTTCTATATTCTGGATATTAATCTCTTGTCAAATATATGATTTGAAAATATTTTCTCCTAGAGTTTTTTTCTAATCAAGAATGGATGTTGGGGACTTCCCTGGTGGTGCAGTGGTTAAGAATCTGCCTGCCAATGCAGGCGACAAGGGCTCGAGCCCTGGTCCAGGAAGATCTCACCTGCTACGGAGAAGCGAAGCCCGTGCACCACAACTACTGAGCCTGCGCTCTAGAGCCCACAAGCCACAACTACTGAAGCCTGCATGCCTAGAGCCCGTGCTCCACAACGAGAAGCCACCGCAATGAGAAGCCCCCCCACCACAACAAAGAGTAGCCCCCACTCGCCGCAACTAGAGAAAGTCCGCGCACAGCAACAAAGACCCAATGCAGCCCAAAAACAACAAAAAAGAATGGACGTTGGATTTTGTCAAAAACTTTTTCAGCATCTATTGATGATGTTTTCAAAATTTTTACTTTGTTAATATGATGAATTTCTCTGACTGCTTTTTAAAAAACACTTTATTGAGACATAATTCATAGCCCATAAAATTCACCCATTTAAAGTACATAATTAAATGGTTTATAGCATCCACAGAATTATACGATCACCACAATCGCTTTTAGAACATTTCATTACTCCAAAAAGAAACCCTGTATCTATTAGTAGTCACTCCCATTTCCATCTGTATTATTCAGTTGTCATATTAATTAAGGCTGCCAGAACAAAATACCACAGACTTGGTGGCTTAAACAATAGAAATTTATTTCTATTCTGGAGAACAGAATATATTTAATTCTGGAGGCTGGAAGTCCAGATGGCTGTCTTTGTGCAGTATCCTCAGATGGCCTTTTTTCTGTTTGTGTGTACTCCTGGTATCTCTTCCTCTTCTTTTTTTAAAATAAATTTATTTATTTATTTTTGGCTGCATTGGGTCTTCGTTGCTGCATGCGGGCTTTCTCTCGTTGTGGCGAATGGGGGCTACTCTTTGTTGTGATGCGTGGGCTTCTCATTGCAGCGGCTTCTCTAGGAGTGTGGGTTTCAGTAGTTGTGGCATGCAGGCTCAGTAGTTGTGGCTTGCAGGCTCTAGAGTGCAAGCTCAGTGGTTGTGGCACACGGGCTTAGCTGCTCCGCGGCATGTGGGATCTTCCCAGACCAGGGATCGAACCAGGGTCCCCTACATTGGCAGGCAGATTCTTAACCACTGTGCCACCAGGGAAGTCCCCCCTGTCCCTTTTCTATTCAATTCCCCACCCTTGAGAGACAAGCACTGTTTTGATTTCTATTATATATCAGTTTTGTTTGTTCTTAAAATTCATATAAATGGAGTCATATAGTATTTTTATGTATAGCTTTTTTCATTCAGTATATTTTTGATATGTATCCACTTATTCTGTATAACAGTTTATTCTTTTTTATAGTACTTAACTGTATGAATGTATCAAGTTGCCTATTCATTCTTATACTCACGGACATTTGAGTTTTTCTAGTTTTTGGCTATAAATGAGAAATGGTACTATGAACATTAATGTACAAGTCTTTTGGTGGACGTATATTTTCATTTCTTTTGGCTAAATACCTAGGAGTGGTATTGCTGGATCATATAATAGCTGTATGTAGAAATTAAAAGGAACTGCCAAAGAATTTTCCAAAGTGATTCTAGATGTTCCACATCATTTGGTGTTACCAGTTATTTTAATATTAGCTATTCTTTTTTTTTTGGTTATTTGTTAATATTAGCTATTCTCATGGGTAGCCTATTGTGGTTTTATTTTTATTTTCTTAATGACTAAATATGTTGAACACTTTTAAATGTGCACATGACCACTCACATATATTATTCTGTGAAGTATCTGTTTAAGTCTTTTACCTTTTTTTTTGTTTTTTGACCATGCTGTGCAGCATGCAGGATCTTAGTTCCCCAACCAGGGATTGAACCCAGGCCCCCTTCATTGGGAGCATGGAGTCTTAACCACTGGACAGCCAGGGAAGTCCCCTTACCAATTTTTAAATTGGGATTACAAATTTTTTTTTAATTTATAGTGAGTTGTTTTACAAATTTTGAATGCAAGTTTTCTGTCTCATATATTTATAGCTCTCTCTCTGTAGCATGCATTTTCATTTTCTTAATGCTGAGAGATTTAAGAGAAGTTTTTCATTTTGATCAAGTCACTTATTTACTTTTATAACTAGTGCTTTTTGGGTCCTAAGAAATCTCTACATATTCCAAAGTCATGAAGTTATTCTCCTATGTTTCTTCCAGAATCTTTAAAGTTTTAGCTTTTACATTTAGGTTTATAATCCACCCTGACTTATTTTTAAAATATAATATGAGGTAGAAATTAGACTATTTTTTTCCCCCTTAAGTTTCTCCAACAGTTCCATCATTATTTGTTGAGGGCTTTCCTTTCAACATTGAATTACTTTGGTGCCTTGCTGAAAATCAGTTAAATATATACCTTTACATATTATATATATATATAAATATATATTAAATCATATAAATATATAAATACATAATTTGCTATGTTCCACTGATATATTTATGAACTCTTTTTAGTTCTATTGAATTTTAACTTTATAATAATTCTTGAAATCAGGTAGTATAGTGTAAGTCCTCCAACTTTGTTCTTTTTCAAGATTATTTGTCTACTCTAGGTCCTTGACATTTCCACTTAACTGTTAGAATCAGCTTGTTGAAGTCTTTAAAAAAATCTGTTGGAATTTTGTTTGGGTCTGCATTGAATCTATACATCAATTTGAGACAGAACTGACATCTTAGCAATATTGAACATCATGAATGTGGTATATATTCTCTATCTCTTTATTTTTTTATTTTATTTTTCTTTTTGCGGTACGTGGACCTCTCACTGCTGTGGCCTCTCCCACTGTGGAGCACAGGCTCCGGATGCGCAGGCCCAGCGGCCATGGCTCACGGGCCCAGCTGCCCCGCGGCACGTGGGATCCACCCGGACCGGGGCACGAACCCACATCAGCAGGCGGACTCCCAACCACTGTGCCACCAGGGAAGCCCTCTCTATCTCTTTAAATCTTTGTCTTGGCAGTGTTTTGAACTTTTTAATATACAGGTCTTCATGTCTTACATTAAATTTTTTCCTAGGTACTTTATGTTGCTTATTGTTGACATGAAAAAGGTTTTAGTGATTTGAATAGAAGATAAAAACAGTCACAACAGTCCCTTAAGCCAAAGCATAATCAAGGCCCTAATTCTCTTCAATTCGGTGGAGGCTGAGAGGTGAGGAAGCTGCAGAAGAAAAGTATGAAGCTAGCAGAGGCTGGTTCATGAGGTTTAAGGAAAGACACCATGTCCCAACATCAAAGTACAAGGTGAATCAGCAAGCGCTGATGTACAAGCTGCAAGTTATCCAGAAGATCTAGCTAAGATAATTAATGAAGGTGGCTACACTAAACAGTAGACTTTCAGCGTAGACTAAACAGCCTTCTATTGGAAGAAGATGCCATCAGGACTTTCATAGCTAGAGAGAAGAAGTCAATACCTGGTTTCAAAGCTTCAAAGACAGGCTGACTTTCTTGTCAGGGGCTAACATAGCTGGTGACTTGAAGTTGAAGCCAATGCTCATTTACCATTCTGAAAATCCTATGGCACTTAAGAATTATGCTAAATCTACTCTGCCTGCACTCTGTAAATGCAACAATAAATCCTGGATGACAGTAAATCTGTCTACAACATGGTTTACTGAATATTTGAATCCCACTGTTGATACCTACTGCTCAGAAGAAAAGATTCCTTTCAAAATATATTACTGCTCATTTACAACACACCTGGTCACCAAGAGCTTGGATGGAGATGTACAATGAGATTAATGTTGTCTTCATGCCTGCTTAACACAGCATCCCTTCTGCAGCGCATGGACCAAGGAGCAATTTCCACTTTCAAGTGTTATTATTTGAGAAATAAATTGTAAGGCTATAGCTGCAATAGTGAGTGATTCCTCTAATTGATCTGTGCAAAGTAAACTGAAAACCTGCTGGAAAGGATTCACCATGCTAAATACCATTAAGAACACCTGTGATTCATGGGAGGTCAAACTATTAACACTCATAGGAATTTGGAAGAAGTTAATCCCAAACCTCCTGGATGACTTGGAGGGGTTTAAGACTTTAGTGGAGGAAGCAGCAAGAGAACTAGAATCAGAAGTGGAGCCTGAAGTTTTGACTGAATTGTCACAATCTCATGATAAAACTTGAATGAACAAGGGGTTACTTCTTATGGATGAGCAAACAGAGTAGTTCCTTGGGATGGAATCTACTCCTCGTGAAGATGCTGTAAAGACTGTTGAAGTGACAACAAAGGATTTAGAATATTATGTCAACTTAGGTGATAAAGCAGGATTTGAGAGGATTGACTCCAATTCTGAAAGAAGTCCTATTGTGGGTAAAATGCTGTCAAACAGCACTGCATGCTACAGGGAATTGTTTGTTAAAGGAAGGGTCCATCTGTGCGGCAATCTTCATTGTTGTCTTATGTTAATAAATTGCCACAGACACCCCAGCCTCAGCCACCACCAAGACAGAGGAAAGACCCTCCACCAGAAAAAAGAATATGAATGCTGAAGGCTCAGATAACGCTTAGTATTTGTTAGCAATAAAGCATTTTAAAATTAAGGCATGTACATTGATTTTTTTTTAGACATAATGCTACACAGACTAACATACATAGTTATATAAACATAACTTTGATTATGCTTGATTTGTTTACTGTGTATTCACTTTACTGCAGTGGTCTGGAACTGCACTAGCAATAAAGCATTTTAAAATTAAGGCATGTACAAGACTGTCATGTGGATTAAATGAGTTATCAAATATAAAATGCCTAAAATAGTGCTTGATAAATGGTAAACATTCAACAAAAGCTAGCCATTATTAGTACAATTATGAACCTGTGGCAGAATGAACTCTAAATTCATATTACTTGTTTTAAAAATAAAGTATCACTAGAAAAATAAGCAAATAATATGGTAGTCTGAATGTACTTATTATGCATTTTAACAATGATTTCTACATAAAAAATAAAGAAAAGGAAAGTAGCAAGTTTAAACCGAAACAATAAATAAAGTGAATTAATTTTCACAAAAAGTATAAGTAAGCTTTAGAAGAAAGAACTTTCTTTAAAAACCTTAAAATTTATTCAAAAGCAATAAAATAACAGCTTCTGTGAAGTATGAACTGTATATAATAAGTAAACACAGCACAGTACCAAAAATTCCATTTTTCATCACATCAACGTCTTCTTTCAATTACAAATTTTCTCCCTGGAATAATGCAAATTAATAGATTATTATTTGAAATACTGATTTAGCATTAAAAGTCCACTATAATAATGAGGGGCATAATTTAAAGCAAGAGTGGAAAATATTTAGTCAGTTGAAAAACATGAATCAGAATGTCAGTAATGGACCACATCGATAGAAAAAGCAAATAAATCTGGTTGGGGAATTAGGAGGGAGTGCAAAATTAAATTGATTTTAAAAACAAAAACAGGTGACAATAAAAATAAGATATTTAGACATTGGTGTCACTTTATGGTTCAACTGAAGGCACAGTAAGATAGATGAAGGGCTACATGAAAAAAGTCAATGAAAAAGAGAGAAAAAAACAGAACAGGAAAGGAAAAAGACAAGAGAGAAATGTTGCACAAAGAAGTAGCACAACATACAAAAGTGGAAAAGTCTCAGGAGATTCTAATACTATAGGTCAAATATTCTTGTCGTATCTTGGTCTTTGCTTGGGCCAGGAATTTGAAAATATTATCATGTCTCTAGGTACGTACCTGTACTCCTACTTCATCTTGGTTTTTTTTTTCCACTTTTAATTGTTACCCAATCACTGATTTTATCAATTCTCATTTTTCATCTTATTGCGCAGTATACAGGACCATATTTTGTAAACTACTTTTCTTTTTGAAAATAAGAGGGATAAATAATACTCCTTTCAACTTCCTAATAAACTGTGAATTAGCTAATTAATTCACAACACTTCTACTGCTCTAATCTAAAACAGGAGTTCTTAACTTGAAGTCTGTGAACTCCTTGAAATTGTGTTCAAAATTGTGTGCATGTGTAACTTTTTGTGGGTTTTGAAACTTTTGTCAGAGTCTGAAAGCAAAATACTACTGTGGTAGAGGCTTTATTGTGAATGGAATTGCCAACATAGTTAACCATTAAGAAAATCAGTATTGGGGCTGATCTTCTTGTTCCAAGAAAGGAAGCTAACACTTACTTAACATTTCTCACATACCAATTTCTATGTTCTTTCTGCTGCACCAGTGGACTTTAAGATTGCACTCTTTGGAGCAGGGCTAATGTACGTCCTAAGCACAGTCCAATAGTGATGCCCCCAGCCCTTCCATTGCTTAAAATAAAGAGCTTTATTTTACACCTTTACACATATTAACTGATGAGTTAAATGCTATCAGGACTTAGCCTGCTGGTTTTTACTCTCTACAGAAGTGAAACTCACACCATGAATTAGAAACAAATGTAAATATCTGACAACACCTTCAAACCAAACTTTAAAACTTTAGTCATTCACCATACCAAAGAAAGATTTTTTTAACAGTGTAGATTAAATTGGAATATGGCAGATAAAGACAATAACAAAAAAGTCTACTATAGTCAAGTGTGGCAGTGAAAGGGTTAAGGGCATGATAGCTAGGGCAAAAAACTCTGTGGTGCTCCCCTTCCCTTGGTGCCCTAAGCTTGTACTTATTTTCCTTAAAAGTTAATCCAAGGCTGCTCTGTAGTTTTTGCATGAGCAGTCATGAAAGAGGTGAGCAAGTAATTGGGTAAAGCTCAGAAACAATTCACCCTCAATCAGATAAACTATCTTTGTATCTAATTGACATATTTGTGTTTCTTTATAACATTTCATTTAAACAACACTCCTTGGCTTTTTAAAAGAGCTTAAAAAGTCTGCTTTTAAATCGGAGACCAATCCAATGTCTACTTTAGTGATGGGTGAAACAAGCTGAGAACCAGAACTAGCCTGTACATCAAGGTTCTACACCCCAATTTAAAATACTTCATGTCAAATTTTACTAAGTGGTACACAGTTATTAATGCAATGCACATGTAAATGACCATGAAGGTAGTTAAAGAGTAAAACCATAGCAAGTCAAAGTTTCTTTCAATAGTAGCTGTCCTAGCTCTGAATTTTCTTACTTTCCATTAGAAAAAAACAGTGAAATTAGAAAAGAAAAAAATGGAGGTCCTACAGAAAAAAGCATTGAGAAGACATCTTCAGCCACCTTTTCCTCAACATTAGGTATAATCAGTAAGTAATGACCATTAGAGAACTGAAAAAAACCCACAGATGAGCATTTATCAAGCATCAGTCCTAGCACAGGTTCCAAAGGACACCGAATATAGTTCTCAGCAACCAAAAGAGCCAGTCCTTTCTGCCCAAGACAAAATTAAGCCAACACAGAGGCTCATGAGTTATGAGTCCCAAGTGAGCCTCAAGTCATGATGAATATTGACAGTGAAACCGAGCAGGACCCTGTGGGGCTCCTGGGCACAGAAGCCTTTCTGTGTTCCCCGTTTATTGTTTGTAGAAAATAGGCTTCAGCCTCCATGACCTTCCCTGAATTCCAAAGGGCAGGTTCAAACCATTGCTAATCAGGGAAGGGAGGGGACACAGAGACAGACAAAGGAGGAACAGTCCAAAAACAATAGCGCAGCCTTGGGGCAGGGTCCTGGTTCTGCCTCAAGGGATACACATAACAATATCTTTGAGCTCTTCTGCAGAACTAAAACTCCCAACAAATGGAAGATGTTAACTACTTGAAGCATTCTTCATTCCAGAGAGAAAGTCACAGTTTGATAACCTCGAGAACCACAGCAGCTCATCAGGAAACCACCTGAGGACAGATTAAAGGAATACAGGCCCTGCACATACCCTGATCCTTATCAGCAACCCTGCCCTTGAACCATTGCTATAAAATTCCTCACCAAACTCCCTGGGTTTTGAGGCTACGAGCCTGCTGTATCCCCCTTTGCCTGGCAAAGCAATAAAGCTCTCCTTTTCTACTTCACCCAAAACTGTCTCTGAAATTCAGTTCGGCACCAGTGCACAGAGGCCAAGTTTTTGGCATTAACAGTGGTTAATGCATTTAAAACTCAGCAGAGTGTCACTAGTGTTAAAAAACAAAATACAACCAAGTATATTTGAAGATCTAATTGGCTTTATGCATGAATCAGATAGCATTTCATCTAGTAAACAGAGAGGTGCTCAGAGTGTTAGGGGAAACACTGACTGAAACCGATGCCCTAGCCAGGCACCATAGTAACCACTTGCATGAATTACCTTAAACAGGAGGTCCTGGGAAGGAATGCAGAATTAACAAGCTACCACCAACCGGAGTAATTCAGGGAAGGTCAAAAGGAGAGAGGAGACACCAGTCCATATGTCCTAGCACCCTCCCAGAATTCTCCTCGCTGGAATCCATCTTGGCTGAGTGATGTGTGTGCCACCAGGAAGGACCCTGAGTCAAAATGATTGGCCAGAGACAACCTGGAAACTAATCCCATCACCGTAAAACCCTGAAAGCCAGTGGCAGAGCAGTCCTCCTGGGTTCCCTTATCCTCCTGCTCTCCACCCAGGTGCCCCTTCCCAATAGTCTCTTGCTTTGTCAGCACATGTTTCTCCTCGGACAATTCATTTCTGAGTGTTAGAGAAGAGTCCACTCTCAGGCCCTGGAAGGGGTCCCCCTTCCTGCAACAAAAGGAGCTGTACAATATGGAAGGCTTTAATAGGCAGAATCTGGGCAGGATAAGACAGTTATTAGCAAAAGAAAAGAAAGGATTGTTTCAGTCAAGGTCACCTTTCTTTGGGGGAAGGGTGGCAGGGGTCTTATCAGGTAGATTACCCCGCTACTGCTGATCGGAAAATTCCAATGATTGACTTAAAATTCCACTCCTAGGAGAGGCTGCAATTAGGTCTTGGTTTGCTGTCCTAGGGGCAAGTGACTCCACTTTGTGCTCCACCTTTTTTTTTTTTTTAACACTAGCAATAAATAAAACTATATGTGTACAGAATTTAACTTTGGCTAGATTTTCTTAAGAACTGACTAAAGTATTTTGCACTGAGTTTCCATGATAATAGAATAGGTAAATTGATTTGCAATATTCAAATCCATCTATCTTTCCCAATGAGCTTTAGAGTGAGAAATATTCTATCAGCTGTGTAGTAATTTTAAGTCCCACAACCTTAATCTCTAATTGACTAAGTAGTTGCAAGACCAAACTATATAATTAGACAGTACTGAAGAAAAGATAAGTACAATTATGTAAATAGTATTATCAATAGTGGTTAAGAAGAGAGACTCAGCTTCCTCATCTATATAGTGAGAATAATAATAGTAGCCACTAAAATAGAAGATTTGGTATTATTAGGATAATAATAGTACCTATCACAAGGTTGTTAATAAAGATTAAATGAGTTAATCTATGTAAAGCATTTAGAATAGTAAATTTATCCTGTATAAATTCTATTTTACCAAAAATAAGACTCTTGTATATCCATGACTGTAAGGGCCATTGGAATATAGCAGAGGTTCTTAAAGGGAGCAGTACTCTCCCCTAGGGAACATTCTGGAAATCTGTAAAAGTACTTGTTGGTTGTCACTATGATGAGGAAAAAGGGACATCCTGTTGCTGGCACAGAATAGACAGGGACAAAAGACACCAGATGTCTTATGGTTTGCATGGCAGTTCTACACAACAAAACTATCTCCTTGGCAATCCTACTAGACTTCCCTAGTCCATTTATATTTTCCCACTCTACAAGATAACTGTTTCATATACCTCCCCTCTTCTTAAACCTCTAATACCCTACCCTGCCTTAGCTGATAACCCTGTTTCTTATTTCACTAAGAAAACAAAGGCAATTAATAATGGAATTCCTCCCCCGCCACCATGTGTTTCTTCCACTCCATGTATTTCTGTACCCTTATATTCTGCCTTCCTTCCCAGTACAGTGGATAAACTGCCCCTTCTTTTATTCAAGGCCAATTCTACTTCTCTTCTGTATCCTGTCCCCTTCAGCCTACCTTAAGGATTTTACTCCTTCCACTCTGTCTTGCATTATCAGTTTCCTCGTCTACTGGATCATTCCTACCAACATACAAAATGCTGTTTTATCTCTTATCCTAAAAAACAAAATAAAAAACTCTCCCTTGACATCACATTCCCCTCATTTCTCTGCTCTACTGTATATCAAGAGTTGTTTATTCTTGGTGTTTGCATTTCTTCTCCTCCCATTCTTTGCTGATTCCACTCTAATCAGGCTTTTATCCTCACTATTACTCTGAAGCCATTCTTAAAAATGTCATTAACAGCTTCCACATTAACAAATATGATATCAATTATCAATCCTCACTTTATTTAGCAACATTTGACACAGTTGATCTCACCCTCCTTCTTGAAGCACATTTTTACTTGGCTTATGGAATATTATTATACTCTCCTATTTTTCTCCTATCTCACTGTTTACTTCTCAGTTAGCTTTAATTTAAATTATCGATACTCACATGCTAAAAGTAATTTAGCCTTACTAAATTAGGCTTAGTTTTTGGACTTTTTTCTTTTTTTAACCTCCATTAATTTCCTTGATTTAATCCATCATTATGGCTATAACTACCATCTATATGCTGATGATATCTAAATTTATAATTTGTCTCATAAATGCAACAATTTATCATCTTCATCTGGATATCTAATAGAACTCTCAAATTTATATCTAAAATCAAACCCTTGATTCTCTCCATGCCTCCAAATCTGCTCATCTCCTAGTATTCCTCATCTCAGTAAATGCTCAGTTACTCTGGCTAAACTCTTTGTAGTCTTTCATGACTTCTATGTCACTCAAAACCTATATCAAACACTGTTTGCTCTACCTTCAAAATATATCCAGAAATTGAACCATTCTCAACACCTTCACATCTATCCTCCTGCCTATCCAAAATCATATCCTGCCTGGATTTTTACAAGTAGCCTCCTATATGTTCTCTGTTCTTGTCCCTTTATCATCCATTCTTCATAAAGCAATCAGAGTGATCCTTTAAAAACATAAATCAGATCATGTCACTTTCTTAAGCATAACCCTCTGATGTCTTCCCATCACACTTCAAAAGGAGCTACAAGATCACTATGGCACCCCCACCTCCACTACCCTACCCTTGGCATTATCTCTTATCACATCCCCTCCCTCTTTTTACACCAAATCATCCATACACCTCCTAGCAGTTTTTTGAACATACCAGGCATGCTACCACCTCAGGACGATAACACTTGTTTCTGTTCCTCCAATGCTCTTCCTTCAGATACTGAAGTAGTTTAATTCCTTACTTCCTATAGGACTCTGATCAAATGTCATCTTCTCATGAGACCTTCCCTGATCACCAGATCTAAAACAGTATACCTGATTCACATCATATCCTCTTACCAGCTTTTCTTCATGACACTTATTTCCACCTGGCATTAGAGCATATGTTTATTTACTTGTTTATTGATGATCTCCCCACTAAAATGTAAGCTCTGTTTGGACAGGGTCTTGATCATTTTTGTTTTGTTTATTTCTATAATCCCAGTGCCTGGTACATAGTAGATGCTCAATAAATCCTAAATGAATTAAATGGCTAAATAAATGATATACAGTAAACACAACTGTAGTTTTAAAGGCTAGATGAAAATTAATTTTATCAGGCTTTATAGAAGTTTGCCTTGTTTATTTTACCATCTTACTTGTTTGCTATACACTTGAAATTTCATAATGTGTAAATTTTGTTTTTACCAATACCATTATTATTTCTAGTCTTCTGCTTATAAATAATAAATTAAGCTTTTTCTTTTTTTTGGCTGTGCCACGTGACTTGCGGAATCTCAGTTCCCCACCAGGGACTGAACCTGAGCCATGGCAGTGAAAGTCCGCAATCCTAACCACTAGGCTATCAGGGAACTCCCCAGATTAAGCTCTTTTTAATGTAAGGAAGGACGTGGAGAAATGAATAGAAGCTCCAACAGTCTTTGTCTTGGATCCATTCTAAAAACACTTTTTAAACTTTTTAGGCCACCAAACTTATTATGACATGTTTGAAATGAGGCAAATGGGCATTTGAAAAAAGCTGAAATTACCTGGAAGAGATTCTTTATTTCTCTGTGCAAACTATAGATTAACTGCTTATAAACAATGTCGAGTGTCTGTAAGGTATGTAAGCAGGGACAAAGTTGCCTCTTCAGTATGATATGCTCAGGAATAATGAGAGCAGAAAAATCATGTGAATGAGATATTCTGAGCCACTATGGAAATTCTATGACCAAAACAAAGACTACCTTAATAATCTTTACTAGAATGGTTTCCAGGAAGTCTAGGAACACAACTAATTTTGGAACTCCAAAAAACATTCTCTAATACTCTGGAGTTCAAAATACTTTCCCAGTATGAGGTAGAATTAGTCTTCAGTCAAATATAGAGATTATATTTAATCAAATACATAGGCTACTTTAACAAAAGGTAATTTTCAAAGCTTAATTTTCAACTCTACTTATCTGGGGTAAAGGCATTCTAAACTCACAATGAAGTTTTTCATACTTTCAATATTTGTGTACATCACCTAATGGCATGAGTGCTTCATTTAAACGTATGGGTTTCTTTCTTACAGAAAATAAAATGATACTAATTGGAGACAAATTATTATAACTTCTAACGTATGAAATACATACCTGAGTTGAACCAGCACCTGTTTGCATAGAAGACTTTTTTAATAGTCTCACTTCTTTGTTTATATATCTTAGCATTCCACTAAGTGTACTGAAGTCATTATTCTCAGAACTATCATCTTCTAGGTCATATGGGAGAGGTTTAAATGAGTCTGACTGGGTATAAGTCAGATCCTTCTGGCTTTCTTCTAATGTTGAAGGTTGTTCCAATTGCATTTTTTTTAAGTCCTGCAGTAATTCTTCAGAAAGATCTTCATCACTACGAGTTCTGAAACTAAGGTCACTGGCACTAATAGAGCGACGTAGTTTTCTACACTTGAAGAAAGCTGTGTGAGAATGCTTAGCAAATTTTGAATCTTGAATATCAGGCGCAATTTCTACTGGAGATGTAAATGGGGCTCGTAGAAACTTGATGTCTTCTGACCTTTCATGTCCAGAAATTTTGGCTTGCAATCTGGTTAATTCTGATTCCTGTAGAAAAATTGGTACATAGTAGGTGCTGATTACATATTTCTTAAATGAATGAATTACTTAGAAAATCAGACTCTTAGAAGTCATCTAAGTTAAACTTCATCCTAGTACAGAAATTCTTTTTATAACAACTCTTGAGTTTTCCAAGCTCTGTTAAAACCCTTCATTGTGGGAAAATTATCTATATTCACTAGAAATATGTTTAAACTATACTAAGGAATTCCACTGAAAATTACATTTTCCTTATAGAACTTTTTCTTTCTTAGTATTGATGACAATATAAATTTCTATTCAAGACTGAAATCTTACATCTAAAAAATTTTCTGCAAAAGTATAAAAAGGTATACAATCATTTGTTAATCTAACATACATACATACAAAAAAACAATGCCCTGCAGAGTTTTCTAATAGGAAATAAATGTCTATTAGCTACTCTGCTTTATATGTCATCATCACAAGAAATCTTTACTAGAAAATTTTCAAAGAAAAGCCTTTAAATGATTAATAATATTTAATAAATTAATCCTTATTAAATAAACTTTTCATTTCTGTTTTTCCGTGTCCTTCATTTGGGTCCTCTGACCCAACTTTGGGATCCTAAGAATAAGACTGCATACACTGAAAAGCGATAAAGCCAAAAAAAAAAAAGGGAAGACATTTTAATTTCAAAAGTTAAACATACGTAGTAGTTTCCTGTTCAAATACATTCTCCTTTTCTTACAAGTATCCATAAGATGCATATTTCTAAACCAGTCACTTTTAAACTGATAGTTTCTATTCTTTCTAAAAATACTGTACTTATAACTAAAACTGTCATAACCACAGTGTGCATTGCAAAATGAAAGTTTAACATGCATGTTTCAGTCCTTTGATGTCTTTACAGTACTTTATCTAGATAAGCTTGATTTATAAGTGGCAGAAGTGCGAATTTTTTTAGTAAGTCTTGTATTCACATTTTTATAATCATAATTAATGAAGTAATTATAAAGTTGACACATATAAGGTCATGTGCAGTTTAAGTTTTTTTTTAAACTTCTGTGTGTTATCTAGCCAAACTGAGAAATGTGGTATCTCAGATAAGCAGGATTCCATTTAACTTACAGTTCAACACCTAACTTTTACAAAGAAATGTAGTATATTGAATATATTAAACATAATTCAACTTTTTCTTAAGACTCAGAGAAGTTCACTGCTGTGATCATTATTGTAGTGTGCAATAATACAGTGATGTCTTCAGGGCTTTCAGAAAATGGACTTAGCTTTGCTCTTACTTCCTCAAATACGAGGGTACTTGTTAGGGTACCAAAAGAGGTGAACTGGAAACAGTGCCTCAAACAGTGTTCTTCTCTTCTCCCTCACTTCTGTTTCTGTTCTCTGTCATTTACTGCTGCTGTCAATGAATTGCTTTCCATTATTTATAGTTACTTCTAATTGTTACATTTATGCCAGCTTCTGCTCTTCTATTAGCTTTTCTTCTTTCTTTCTCTCTTATCCTCCTTAACTTCTCTCCAATCTAGACTTTGGAGCCAGCTGTGGTTGCCTTACTTTCTACTGTCAGAAAACAAAGAAATTCTACCTCTGTCTGGTATACTGGCTAATCATAGTACATGTTCTAAGATCTCTGTATGTATGGTTCATTTAAGAATTGCTGCTATTTTGACAATATTTTCACAACTTCCTAAGTATTTGAACTTAAAAACTTCTGAATAATTGATAAGTGCAATACAATTTTATTTATCTCATTGGTAATATCTAACAAATGAGCAGACATAATTACTGTGACAAGGGATATACAATGCAGAATCTTTAAAATTTTTAGTCAATTTTTTGCAATGAAGTTTTATTATTTTGTGTAAATGTTGTAAATCCCCAGAACACTAACTATATTACTATTTCATAGAGTGTTCAACTGAAACATAATTTTAGATTCTGTCTATTCATCTTTCCTCTAGTACTGTGAATATAAAGTATTTTATAAGAGGAATTTAAGTGCTCAGGTTAATAATTACAAATATTTCTAAGGTATTAATTGACTGAGTTCTTTTGGTTTTTAATAACTTCCATTTTGCTATAAAATCATTTATTGCTTCAAAACTATCAGTGAGTTTGGTCTTTTTTTAAGGTCTTAGCTGACAGTGTTAATCATACTTATTGGCAGTTTGAACTAATATTAAATTTTTTATCTCTATGCATCAATACTGAGATTAATTCAAATTCTAGAGTAAACTGTCATGATCAATAGGGGTGAATAAGTAGCAAGAGGTTATTTGAAAAATGACATATGTACTCAAAAACCAGTAAAAAATTTTTTTAACATAATCTTGCACTTTCTACTTTATGATTTTTAGAGGAACTTGCCTGATTTCGAAAAATACTATTTTTTCTTTTTTATATATATCTTTATTGGAGTATAATTGCTTTACAATGTTGTGTTAGTTTCTGCTGTACAACAAAGTGAATCAGCTATATGCATACACATATCCCCTCCTTCTTGAACCTCCCTCCCACCCTCCCTATCCCACCCCTCTAGGTCGTCACAAAGCATCGAGCTGATCTCCCTGTGCTATGTGGCAGCTTCCCACTAATGCTCCTCCTTTTATTTATTTTTTTTATTTTTTATTTTTTTTGCGGTACGCGGGCCTCTCACTGTTGTGGCCTCTCCCGTTGCGGAGCACAGGCTCCGGACGCGCAGGCTCAGTGGCCATGGCTCACGGGCCCAGCCGCTCCGTGGCATGTGGGATCTTCCCAGACCGGGGCACGAACCCGTGTCCCCTGCATCGGCAGGCGGACTCTCAACCACTGCGCCATCAGGGAAGCCCTGCTCCTCCTTTTAAAGTACATCAAGTATAAAACCCTCTGAAGTAAACATTATGATTAAGTTGGTATTTGCATAAGTTCCAGGCCAAGATGGCAATATAGGCTCCTCTCATATCTCCTCCCACACACAAAACACCAAATCTACAGCTACATAAGGAACAATTCCCTTCAAAAGAAACAAGCTGAGAAAGAAACATCTACACATTGGGTGGATAAGAAAATGCCCACACCAAAACTAGTAGGAAAGCTGAGACTCACTTTTGCCATAAACCCCACGTCAAGCACAGGGCCATACAATGGGAGGGAACACCTGACTTCCAGTTTCTTCCTTAGAAGCAAACGGCTTGGATCCCACATCTAGTGCTCCAACTTTTAAGACTTCCACCTGAGTGATGGGCCCTCACAACACTTAGCTGTGAAAGCCAACAGGGCTTGAGTCTGACACACAAGATTACAGCAAACAAAGAAGCAGTTCTTAACAGGCTTCCAAGGATGTACTATGGCTATCCCCTTAGAACTCAGTACAGAAGGAGCAGTACAAGGGAACCCTGTAAGACTATCAGCAGAAACTGCAGGCCAGAAGGTAGTGGCATGATATATTCAAAGTGCTGAAAGAAAAAAACTGCCAACCAAGAACACTCTTCCTGGGACTTCCCTGGTGATGCAGTGGTTAAGAATCCGCCCTGCCAATGCAGGGGACACAGGTTCGATCCCTGGTCCGGGAAGATCCCACATGCCATGGAACAACTAAGCCTGTGCACCACAACCACTGAACCAGTGCTCTAGGGCCCATGTGCCGCAACTACTGAGCCTGTGTGCTGCAACTACTGAAGTCCGCGCACCTAGAGCCCATCCACAACAAGAGAAGCCACTGCAATGAGAAGCCCCTGCTCACTGCAGATAGAGAAAGCCCACGTGCAGCAACAAAGGCCCAACGCAGCCAAAATAAATAAATAAATAAATAAAATAAATACTCTTTGAGTTAAAAAAAAAAGAATACTCTTCCTGGCAGTTGTCCTTCAGAATTGAAAGAGAGATAAAGCATTTTCCAGAGAAGCAAAAGCTGAAAGAGTTCATCTCCACTAGACTAACCTTACAAGAAATGTTACAGGGACTTCTTCAAGCTGAAATAAAAGGATACTAATTATTAATAGGAAAACATGAAAATTTAAATCTCATTGATAAAGGTAAATATATAGTTAAATTCATAATACTCTAATGTTGTAATGGTGGTAAGTAAATTACTTATAACTATAGTATGAAAGTTCAAAGACAAAAGTATTAAAAGTAACTAAAACTACAATGATTTGTTAATGGGTACACTGATAAAAAGAAGTAAATTTTGACATCAAAAACAAAATAAAGGGGGGACAGAGTAAAAATGTAAAGCTTTAGTATACATTCAAAGTTAAGTTCTTATCAACTTAAAATAGACTGTCATACATGTAAGATGTTTTATGTAAGCCTCAAGAAAACTACAAAGCAAAACTTATCATAGATACACAAAGATAAAGGAAACTAAACATTCCACTACAGAAAATCATCAAATTATAAAGGCAGAGAGCAACAGAAGAAGAAAGGAACGAAGGAATTAAAAACAGCCAGAGAACAATGAACAAAATGGTAATAGTAGGTCCATACCTATCAATAATTAAATATAGATGGACTAAATTCTCTAATCAAATGACAGAGTGGTTTAATAAAAAAATAAGACCTAACTGTATACTGCCTAGAAAGACTCACTTCAGTTTTAAGGACACACATAGACTGAAAGTGAAGGGATGTAAAAATATATTCCATGTAAATGGAAACCAAAAGAAAGCTGAGATAACTACACTTATTTAAAAAAAAAACCGACTTTAGGCCAAAAATGTAACAAGAGACAAAGAGGGTCATTATATAATGATAAAGGGGTCAATCCAACAAAAGAATATAACATTTGTAAATATTTTGCACCTAAAAAACACAGGAGCACCTAAATATATAAAGCAAGTATTAACAGACAGCAACATATTAATGTAGGGGGCTTTAATATCCCAGTTTCATCAATGGATAGATCATCCAGACAGAAAATCAATACGAAAACATTGGACCTGAACTACAAGTTAGACCAAATGGACTTAACATTTACAGAACATTCCATCCAACACATGACAGGAGTGTACATATTCTTCTCAAGTGCATATGGAACATTCTCCAGGACAGATCATATGTTAGGTCACAAAACAAGTCTTAATAAATTTAAGAAGATTAAAATCATATCAAGCATCTTCCAACTACAATGGTATAAAAGTAGAAATCAATTATAAGAAGAAAACTGGAAAATTCACAATTACTTGGAGATTAAACAACACGCTACATAACAACCAATGTGTCAAAGAATAAATCAACAGAGAAATCAAAATTATCTTAAGACAAATTAAAATGGAAATATAATACACCAAAACTTATGGGATGCAGCAAAAGCAGGTATAAGAGGGAAGTTTATAGCGATAAACGCCTACATTAAGAAACAAGAAAGATACCAAATAAAACAACCTAAATTTCTACCTTAGGAAATAAAAAAGGAAGAACAAACTAAGCCCAAAGTTAGTAGAAGGAAGGAAATAAATATCAGAGTGGAAATAAATTAAACAGTGACTAAAAAGACATAGAAAATATCAATGAAACTAAGAGCTGAGTTTTTAAAAAGATAAACACAATAGACAAACCTTTAGCAAGGCTTAACAAGAAAAAAAGAGAGAGAACTTAAATAAATAAAATCAGAAATGAAAGAGGAAATGTTACAACTTGACACCAAAAAAATACTAAGGATCAAAAGGGACTACTATGAACAATTATACACTAACAAATTGGTCAGCAAAGAAAAAAATAGGTAAAATCCTAGAAACATACAACTCAAGACTGAATCATGAAGAAAATATAAAATGAGATCTCAATAGACCAATTACTAGTAAGGAGATTGAATCAGTAATAATAATAATAATAAAAAAATCTCCCAACAACAAAAGTCCAGAACCAAATGGCTTTATTGGTGAATTCTAACAAACATTTAAGAATTAATACCAATCCTTCTCAAACTAGTCTAAAGAAAAGAGATGGGAACATTTCCAAACTCATTTTACCAGGCCAGCATTCCCCTGATACCAAAACCAGACAAGGATGCCACAAGAAAAGAAAATTACAGGCCAACATCACTGATGAACATAGACATGAAAATCTTCAAAAAATATTAGCAAACTGAATGGCCAGCATCAAAAAATCTACAAACAATAAATGCTGGAGATGGTGTGGAGAAAAGGGAACCCTCCTACACTGTTGGTGGGAATATAAATTGGTACAGCCACGATGGAGGTTCCTTAAAAAACTAAAAATAGAGCTACCATACAATTCAGCAATCCCACTCCTGAGCATATATCTGGAGGAAACCATAATTTGAAAGGATGCATCCACCCTGATGTTCATTGCAGCACTATTTACATCAGCCAAGACATGGAAGCAACCTAAATGTCCATCAACAGAGGAATGCATAAAGAAGATGTGGTACATATATACAACGGAATATTACTCAGCCACAAAAAGGAACGAAATAATGCCATCTGCAGTGACATGGATGGACCTAGAGACTGTCATACAGAGTGAAGTAAGTCAGAAAGAGAAAGACAAATATCATATAATATCACTTACATGTGGAATCTAGAAAAATGGTACAGATGAACGTATTTGCAAAGCAGAAACAGAGTCACAGATATAGAAAAAAACTTATGGTTACCAAGGGGGGAAGGTAGGCAGATGGGATGAACTGGAAGATTGGGATTGACATATATACACTACTATAAATAAAATAGATAACAAATGAGAACCTACTGTCTAGCACAGGGAGCTCTACTCAGTGCTCTGTGGTGACCTAGATGAGAAGGGAATCTAAAAAAGAGTGGATGTATGTATATGTATAACTGATTCACTTTGCTGTACAGCAGAAACTAACACAACATTGTAAAGCAACTATACTCCAATATCACTTAATAAAAAAAAGTATTTTAAAATAAATAAATATTTTAAAAAAATATTAGCAAACTGAATTCAACAATGCATTAAAAGAATCATATACCATGATCAAGTGGGATTAGGTCCAGGGACATAAGGATGGTTCAACATCTGCAAATCAATGAGATACCACATTAACAAAATGAAGGATAAAAGTCATATGATCATCTCAAAAGATGCAGAAAAAGCACCTGACAAAGTTCAATATCCATTCATGATGAAAATGCACAACACGTGGTTATAGGGGGAATGTACTCCAACATAATAAAGGTCATATATGACAAACCTACAGTTAACATATTACACAACAGTGAAAAACTGAAAGCATTTCCTTTAAAATCAGGAACAAGACAAGGATGCCCACTCTCACCACTTCTATTCAATACAGAATTGGGAGTCCTAGCCAGAGAAATTAGGGGGAAAAAAAGGAATAGAAGGAATCCAAATTGGAAAGGAAGAAGTAAAATTTTAACTGTTTGTAAATGACATGGTATTATATATAGAAAACCCTAAAGATGCCATCAAAAAACTGTTAGAACTAGTAAATGAATTCAGTAAACAGCAGTATACAAAATCAGTATATAAAAATCTGTTGTACTTCTATATATTAATAATGAATTATCAGAAAGAGAAATTAGTAAAATAATCCCATTTATAATTTCATCAAGAAGAATAAAATGCCTAGAAATACATTTATCCAAGGAGATGAAAAACCTGTACACTGAAAACTGTAAGACACTGATGAAAGAAACTGAAGAAGATACAAATAAATGGAAAGATATTCTGTGCTCATGAACTGGAATAATTAATATTGTGAAAATGTCCTTACTATCCTAAGTGATCTACAGATTCAATTCAACCCCCATCAAAATTCCAATGGCATTTTTCACAGAAATAGAACAAGGTATCCTAAAATTTGTATGCAACCACAAAAGACCCCAAATAGCCAAAGCAATCTTGAAGAAGAACAAAGCTGGAAGCATCACACTTCCTGATTGCAAACCATGTTACAAAGCTATAGTATAGTACATATTAGCATAGAAATGGACACATAGATCAATGGAACAGAATAGATGGCCCAGAAATAAACCCATGCATGTATAGCCAATTAATTTATGACAGAGGAGCTAAGAATATACAATACAATGGAAAGAACAGTATCTTCAATGAATGGTGCTGGCAAAACTGGAGAGCCAGATGCAAAAAAATGAAACTGGACCCCGATCCTACACTATACACAGAAATCAACTCAAACTGTATTCAAAACTTAAATTTATGACCTGAAACCATAAAACTCTTATAAGAAAAAACACGGGGTAAGCACCTTGATATCAGGCGTGGTGATGATTTTTTGGATTTGACACTAAAAGCAAAGGCAACAAAAGCAAAAATAAAAAAGAGGGACTCTATAAACTAAAAAGCTTCTGCACAGCAATGGAAACCAATAAAATGAAAAGGCAACCTACAGAATGGGAAAAAATATTTGCAAATCATTTACTGATAAGGAGTTAATATCCAAAATACATAAAGAACTCATACAACTCAAAAGCAAAGAAACAATCTAATTAAAAAATGGGCAGAGGAAATGAATATACATTTTTTTCAAAGAAGATATACAAAGAGCCAATAGGTACATGAAAAGGTACTCAATATCACTAATCATCTGGGAAATGCATATCAAAATCAAATGAGATATCACCTTATACTGTTAGAATGGCTATCATCAAAAAGACATCAAAAAGAGATGAGTGTTGGCAAGGGTGTGGAAAAAAGGGAGCCCCTGTGCACTGTTGGTGGGCATGTAAACTGGTACAGCCATTAAGGAAAACAGCATGGAGCTTTCCCCCAAAATTAAAAATAGAACTATCATTCGATCCAGCAATACCACTTCTGGGTATATATTCAAAGGGAATGAAAACAGGTTATCAGAGATAACTGTACTCCTATGTTCATTGCAGCATTATTCACAATAGCTCAGATAAGGAAAAAACCTAAGTGCCCATCAACGGATGAATGGATAAAGAAGATGTGGTACTACCAAACGTAAAATAGATAGCTAGTGGGAAGCAGCCACATAGCACAGGGAGATCAGCTCGGTGTTTTGTGACCACCTAGAGAGGTGGGATAGGGAGGGTGGGAGGGAGGGAGACACAAGAGGAAAGAGATATGGGGACATATGTATATGTATAACTGATTCACTTTGTTATAAAGCAGAAACTAACACACCATTGTAAAGCAGTTATACTCTAACAAAGATGTTAAAAAAAAAAAAAGATGTGGTAAATATACATACAATGGAATATACAATGTGCCCTTTGGAACAACATGAATGGACCTTGAGGGCATTATGCTAAGTGAAATAAAACAGAGAAAGACAAATACTGCATGATATCACTTATGTGTGGAATCTTAAAAAAAAAAAAAAGTCAAACTCATAGAAACAGTGAGCAGGAAAGTGGTTGCCAGAGGCTGGGTGGTGGGGGAAATAGGAGAGGTTGCTAACAGGGTACAGCCTTTCAGGTATAAGATGACTAAAGTCTGAGGGATCTAATATATAACATGATGACTACAGTTGGTAACACTAGTTGTATAATTGAAATTTGCTGAAAGATTAGAACTTGAATGTTCTCACACACACAAAATTTTTTATAAGTTCATGGTTGAACATAAATTATTTCTCCTGTGGTAATATGATACATATCAGATTAATAATGTCCAAATTCAGTGTCTTCTAAATAAAGTGCATGCTATTCAAATAGGTCAATTTTTGGTTATTTAGTCCTCTACAAACTACAAGGATGGGAAAATAAGTCATAAATTTACTTCATTATAGTTCTGCTTTATGTATTTTATATGTTTACTTACTTTAATAAGTAATGCTTCGTTTGTAGCTTCAATTACTTTATTCCTGTTTTGGACTTGCTGATGCAAATTGCTTATAGTGTCCTGAGCTTCTTCTAATTCTAGTTTTGTTTTCTCTAACTGTTCATTTAGTTGCTGAACAGAAGTCTTTTGAGAATCAGCAGTAATCTTCCATTTTGCATGCTTCTCCTGATGTGAAATCATCTACATAGCCCCAAAATTGAAAAGGAAAGGAAGAAAGAAAACAGGGTGAAGTTGGTTTCAACAACATTCTAATACTTTCCATTTCCACTTAAATGAAAGTAAATTCTGTTTGTAGTTACAAACATGATTTCTCAACAAATATACTAGAGGGAAAAAGGGGAGAAGGAACCCATAGTTTTAAATTTACTTAAGAACAGTTAACTAAATACCATGGACTGCTTTTGGATCCTGATTTGAACAAATGAGCTATAAAGACATTTTTGTGATAACTGAGGAAATCTGAACAATGACTGGATGTATGATGATATTAAGGAATTAAAGTCAATTTTTAGGTGTTAATAATAGCATTGTGGTTATGTTATTTTAAAATAGCCCTCATCCGACTTCCCTGATGGCGCAGTGGTTAAGAATCCACCTGCCAATGCAGGGACACGGGTTCGAACCCTGGTCCGGGAAGATCCCACATGTCTCAGAGCAACTAAGCCCGTGCACCACAACTACTGAACCTGCACTCTAGAGCCTGCGAGCCACAACTACTGAAGCCCGCGTGCCTAGAGCCTGTGCTCTGCAACAAGAGAAGCCACCGCAATGAGAAGCCTGCACACTGCAATGAAGACCCAACGCAGCCAAAAATAAAAATAAATAAATAAATTTATTAAAATAGTCCGTATCTTTTAGAAATGTTTACTGATGAAACAATCATGTTTGGGATTTGCTTCAAAACAATATGTGATATGTGGGGGAATGTGGGGGAGGGAAGAAAGGGAAGTGAGTGAGGTTAAAGATATGGTCACCATACTTCCCAGTTTGCCTACAGCTGTCTAGGTTTTATGCCTGGTATCCTGGTGTAGTTACTAATAGCACCCTTTTTCATTCTCAAAAGTATTTCCTTTTAGATAAAAGAGATGGTCGACATACTTATAGATTAAATCAAATTGGCCATGAGTTGATAATTACTGAAGTTGAACAATATATAGGAAGAGTTATACTATTCTACTTTTGAATATGTTTAAAATTTTCCATAATAAAGTTTAAAAAAATCTCATTTTCATTGAAAAAAAATCAGGAGTTTTGCAATTAAATGACTTTTCTGACAACTCTGAAACCTGTATTTTAAAAATTATAGTTAAAAATTATTGATCTCCTTTCCTATTACTTTAATGACATATTCTCTCATTTTTATATTCAACCAACATACACACTTTAAAAAAATCTTTGTTAAGAACAACAACAAAAAAACCTATATATATATTTTTTAACCTGTATTTATTTTAATTACTCCTATTTGAAGGTCCTTATTTTTGGAAAATAGCAAGGCATTTTATTATCCACTCTTTCCATTCCTTAAAGGCTTCTACAGGTTTTGGCAAATTCACATTATCCTCATGACTATGTTTTGGAGGGAGGTGTGTCAGCAGATTCATCTTCAATCCACCTCACCAGCGCTTTGTACCCTTCCATAGTGCTACAACCAATAGCATGCTGTAACTTGTGTAAACAGATAGGGTAAAGGTTTAGGGGGCACTGGTCAGCTTTTTCCAAATCTTTGGAACTTTGCATTAGATGTTCAAGCCACTGGCAGTGTTAAAGTCCAAATCTGTGTCCAACCTCATGGGTTAAAGTCTTATAGGATCAAAGTGGCAAAACACTAGTCATTTCAGGAATGTAATAGTTATCAAAAATCGAATAGTCGTTTGAAGGTGTTCTCTGCAGCTTCTTTACCTTGCCTTCATAAGATAAACTATAAAAAAACGCCATACCTGACAAGGCTGAATATCCCCATACCATCTGTTAAAGAGGCCTGTCCAAAGGCAAAATTCCAGGGAATCTCTTGGGTAATGCTCAATCAGTGTTATTCCCACAACACAGAAGGCATCTTTAGGTTTCTAATTTTTTAGAACTTCAGGGTATGCCTGCATGAATTTGTAGGTTTTGGATGTTATCACTGACTCTAAAATAACACCTTGCAGAGACAGGAACTGGTTCTAGGAGCTTTACTGTCAAGCCACAGAAAAATGCTTCACAGTAGCCCTTGAGTCATTTAATATATTCTTCACTGATAACTCTGGTGTTTCCTAGAGATCCAATGCACTGTATATAAATACTGCATTTCTCTGGAGAGGGTGTCTTTCTGTAAGGATCACTGAAAAACTTTTCAAAAGTCTTGGGGAGCCTCAGGATGGGAGGTATCCAATCTGATCACGAATGCAAGATGGGTCCAAAGGTATCACCCTCTGGCTGGAAGTCTTCATTTATCAAAAGCTGTTCCACCAGCACCTAACTTTTACTGTGACACAAGTGCTGGGTTCTTAAGATGAGAGCTGTTTTTAGTGTCTGTTTAGAGTTCCATACTGTTTGCATAATGAAAGGTCTCTTCCATTCACATCGTGTTCCTATGTAGAGCTTTCATTTTTCTGTCTGAATGGGTTAAACAGCTGTTTCACCACGAGGCTCAAAAGGACCAGCATGTCTGGGGCCTGACTGGAAAAGCATTGTGCTGGGTGCCTTCATCCCCGACAGGCCTCCAAGACACCAGCTGCAGCCCCTGTGCGAGTGTCCATATTAGGTATTTTTATATGATGCATATAAAATATTAATACCAGATATTAAACAGCAATACTAGAACCAATTTTTACAATTCATTTTATGTACTATTGCTTATAAATAATTTCAGGATGCTTATAAAACTAAAAGTAAAAAATTGGATGATTAAAATAAAAGTAGAAATTCAGACCATGTAATAAAAGCATACTGAGTAGTTCCTGGCAAATACCTGAGATGGACCAATTACTACTGATGTTCACTAAGTTGACCAGCTAATATCAAATAATTATGCTGAACTCATCAGCATTCACATTTGTCTCTAGAGACCAAAGGTTGTAATCTCTTGGCCTGAGGACTGGATTCAGCTTGCAAATGTGTTTTGTTTGGCAGACAATGTTTTCAAAGAGATATGACTCTAAATGCATTTAAACAAGACATGGTGACCACAAACCCAACTTATCCCTCACAAAGATGTTACCAAACTCCCTAGAAATGAGTTTAATATAAATGTATTTGCAACCATTGCCATACAGAAAAATGCTTTATTAGAACTTCATAAGTAATTTATTCAGATCTTAAACATAAATTCTGGATATCTTCAAATATAGTTTTTAAAAAGACAAGAAATGCTATTCTAATGGGTGACACTGCCCATTTCTATAAAGGCTCAGGACACATGGATAGATAAAAAGTATTGTACTGCCTCTCTAACTTACTATCAGAGCAAATGTTGAAAATTACAACACATTAATAGATCTACATCACATGAAACGGCTTATATTGGTTATTAAATACCTCCAGTGAGTTTTGGCAAGCGCTATTTTATAACCAATGATACAATGATAATGATGTGCCAGGCTCTGGTGTAAGAACTTTAACTATACTAATTCATTTAATCCTCAACACAGTTTTATGAAATAGATAGCATTATTATATCCATTTTAGTTAAAGATGTTAAGTTAGTTGCCCAAGGTTACATAAGTGTCAAGTAATGAGCTGAGATTTAGAACCAGGATGCCTGGCTAAAGAATTCAACCTCTTAACCCCACAGAATATTAGTTCACCGGATATGAAGCAAAAGTTATACGTTTAGGATACCAGAAATGGAAGACCACATGTATTACTCTATAATGAACATTTAAGAGCTAGACTTATACTTTGTTCAGATAGATCAACACACTTTAGCAGGGGGTAATAGAACAAATTAAATTTTTATTTACCTCTAGATGATAAGCTTCTTTGACAGATTCTACTTCTGCTGACAATTTCTTGATTTCTGCTTGCATTCTTGCTTCTAACTGAGCTTCACGTACTTGAGAAGCCCCCAACTCTTCAGCTAAATGTTTTCCATGAGCTTCCTTAAAATGACATATTAAGTAAAGGTTACATTACTTGTTTATTTGGTTATTATAGCTAAACAACTCAGCACATTTATAGAAGTATCTTAATCTTTTATAATACTATATACTCAAACACAGTTACCATATTAAATGTACACTTTAAAAAATGTATTAATCTAGATTTTAATCTATATCTTTAAGAGAGTACTAATGGGAAAGTATCAGTATATTGTTTGTTATAATATAATAGAAGTTCACTAACCAATGCGTTTTGTAAAATAAACTAATAACCACAGAACACTGAACTTTGGCAGATAATAGTCTGCTCTTAGGTATGGGTATGCATTTTTGCTCACCAGATGTGCTGTTTGCTTATCCACAGTCAGTTGTGTATTTATCTAGACCTATTTATGCTAGTTGTGTTTGTGACTACAATTATGTAATTTTATTATACATTATGAACACTGATGAAATATGCATGTAAAATGAATGTTTTTATATGAAAACTAAGTTATATGCTTTGAGACAATTCAATAAGTGAGTCACAAACATTTGCTACCCAATTAGAACCAGTCAGGATAGTTGTAAAATATTGTGTGAAATCCCATAAAAAATATGAGATGCTATCCTCTGATTCACAAATGTCTTTCAATTCTTTTTCCATTTTAAGAAACTAAAATTGGAAACTATAGATGATGGAATATGAGTATGGTTTATGCAAGAAAGACTAGGTGGAATTTTAATCAAGTGACCCTACCATACACCAAAACCCAAGATTTGGTCCCACATTAAAAGATTAACGTATGAATGTAAACTTAGATTTTTGGGTTAAAATATAATACTTAAAGTGTCATTTTTTTAAAATAAATGTATTTATTTTGTTTATTTATTATTTTTGGCTGGATTGGGTCTTCGTTGCTGTGCGGGCTTTCTCTAGTTGCGGCGAGCGGGGGCTACTCTTCGTTGTGGTGAGCGGGCTTCTCACTGTGGTGGCTTCTCTTGTTGCGAAGCACGGGCTCTAGTCACGCGGGCTTCAGTAGTTGAGGCACGGGGGCTCAGGAGTTGTGGCGCACGGGCCTAGTTGCTCTGCAGCATGTGGGATCTTCCTGGACCAGGGCTTGAACCTGTGTCCCCTGCGTTGGCAGGCGGATTCTTAACCACTGTGCCACCAGGGAAGCCCTAAAGTGTCATTTTTTTTTAAAATGTTTATTTATTTATTTATCTTTGGCTGCGTTGGGGCTGCATTGGGTCTTCATTTTTTCTTTTTCTTTTTTTTTTTTATGCGGTACGTGGGCCTCTCACTGTTGTGGCCTCTCCCGTTGCGGAGCACAGGCTGCAGATGCACAGGCTCAGCGGCCATGGCTCATGGGCCCAGCCGCTCTGCGGCATGTGGGATCTTCCCAGACCGGGGCATGAACCCGTGTCCCCTGCATCGGCAGGCAGACTCTCAACCACTGTGCCACCAGGGAAGCCCTGGGTCTTCGTTTTTGCGTGTGGGCTGTCTTTAGTTGCGTCAAGCATGGGCTACTCTTGGTTACGGTGCACGTGTTTCTCATTGCGGTGGCTTTTCTTGTTGTGGAGCACTGGCTCTAGGTGCCTGGGCTTCAGTAGTTGTGGCACATGGGCTTCAGTAGTTGTGGCTTGTAGGCTCTAGAGAGCAGGCTCAGTAGTTGTGATGCACGCACTTAGTTGCTCCGCAGCATGTAGGATCTTCCAGGACCAGGGCTCGAACCCATGTCCCCTGCATCGGCAGGCGGATTCTTAACCACTGCGCCACCAGGGAAGGCCTAAAATGTCATTTTTAATAATTCCCCACTTTCACTTACTTATTTGATTAACTGAGCTTAGTTTATCAGATAAAATCAATTATACTACATTTAGATCCTATTGATAAGGACAGAAATGAGATAAAAGTAGATAGCCTCCCTTTTCCTAGTAGACTCCCATGTGCCTGACATTCTAGTAAAAATTCCCTGTATATTTTTTATTAGTCTAACCACCCAGAAATGTGAATAAAAATGTCATTAGGTTAACCAAGGCTAAATGTAAAAACATTTTCAGTCAATTCCCGTACTGAATTAGTAACCATAATAGAAAGCAGAAAAATCACAAGAACTTTTCTAGAATACCAATAAATACATTTTTCTCGAAGTCTAAGTAATTAACTCACATATATCAATCTAAATATTTTTAAGCCAAGTTGTTAACTTTCTATCTAATACTAGGGAAATACAATCTATATTAGTGCTCTTGCTATTTAAAAGCTCTTTTCCTCCCCAAGGGTTCTGGACTGCAGGTTTCTAACAGTTATAAATTTAGATAGTCAGTTTTCATATATGAATGGCTACAAATGTAAAAAGTTTTTACTAAAAAAGATTTATTAGAGACTTCCCTGGTGGTCCAGTGGTAAAGAATCCGCCTTACAATGCAGGGGACGCGGGTGCGATTCCTTGTCAGGGAACTAAGAGCACACATGCTGCGGGGCAACTAAGCCAGTGTGCCACAATTACTGAGCTCGCGTGCCTCAACTAGAGCCTGCGTGCCGCAAGCTACAGAACCCATGCGCCCTGGAGCCCAAGCACCACAACTACCGAACCCACGCTCCCTGGAGCCTGCATGCCACAACTAGAGAGAAGCCCACGCGCCGCAATGAAGAGCCTGTGTGCTGCAATGAAAGATCCCACATGCCTCAATGAAGATCCCGTGTGCTGCAACTAAGACACAATGCAGCCAAAAATAAATTATATTAAATAAATAAATAATGAATAAATCTTTTAAAAAAGATTTATTAGATTTTTTTGTTTGAGTGATAGCTCAAATTCACTTGAAAGTCTGAAAGTGCTTTATAACTCATTTTATTGAAAACTAATTAGTTTGACTAAAAGTTCTGAGAGACTTCCAAGTTACACTACAATGCTGTGCTAAATATAAGTTTTTTTTTAAATTTGGGTAAAATACACATAACATAAAATTTACCACCTTAATCATTTTTAAGTGTAAAATTTGGTGGCATTAAATACATTCACATTGTTGTGGAACACAATTAACTTTTGTAAGAACTATATTCTATAGTCGAAAAAGTAAAGGTTAAAAATTTTAGTATTTTCAGTAAGGTAAAATTAGAATAGGGATTACTTTCTCTTTAGAGAGTTGCTTTATTTCCTCCAGTTCACTTGACAGCCTTTCTACTTCTCTCTGTGCTTGGACTTGTTGACGATGAGCCTCCACCAATTCTGTATGAGAGTTCTGCATCTGCTCCCGAGATAGCCTCAATTCTTGCTCCAAATCTATGGCCTCCTTGTACTGAGTTGCAATGTACTGTTCCTGCTCTTTCATAACCTGAAATGCACAAGATATTTGTAGGTTTCAAAATAAAATGATACAGATAACCTATTCTTACTCTGATTTCTCTTTTAATAAATGACTTAACCCCTCCCAACTAAACCTCTATATAATTTAACATATAATGAATATCATCCACTGTGAAACTAACATTTGAAAATGTTTTCTTTTTTAATGATAAAAAAATGACAGAAGTACTGTAATAAATCTGGGACTCACTGGTATATTTTACATGACTTTAATATGCAAGCTGCATAATCCTTTAACATTATGATGCAACATCACAGAATATATAATAATATAAAGAGAAGAAAGACGTTAATATTTGATTATCCATGTCAAAGATGGAGAATATACTGGCGTGAATAATCAAAACCTACCATTAACCCACACAGCTTGGTTAAGGATGATCTTATTCTCTGCAAAAGGGAAATTTGTTATTGGGACTACTACTCCTTCTGAAAACCTTTTACATTCCTCAGTTAAATCCCTAGTAAAGTATTATTTCTTAGAGAAAAAAAAAATCAGTAAAAAGTAAATTAGTTCTAAATTGGCTCAGTGAGGTAGATTAGATGGTAGATAATGACGCTTGACTTTAGGGCTGATAAGAAGGAAAGAAACCAGTACAAATCACTAGGACCCTAATGTCTAGAATGGGGGCCTAAGGTCCAACAGTGTTGTATATCAGTATAAATCTCATGTAAATATTTTTAGCCAGCCCTTGTTAAGGAACATGCAATGATTGAGCCAGTAACCTTTCGTTTTTCTCACTGGGGCCCAAACTTGGTCTCAGAGACCCTGCTTAATTTATGTAGTGATATATAATCCAACAAATATTTATTCATGCTTACTATGTGATATGTACTATTCTAGGTGTTGAGGATAAAGGAGTGAACAGAGGAGACAAAGTGGCTACCCTTGTGGAGTTTATATTCAACTGGAAGAGACAGATAATCAATTAATCAAACACAATAAAGAGCTATATATTGATATTAAGTTTTAAAGTTGAGTATAGTATTTAAAAACAAAAAAAAGTTACATCCATGAGAGCTCTTAGAAACAAATTCACTTTTAAAAAAAGGCAAGTGGGTGGAATGAGTTCAGTAGTCAACACACATGCAAACTGATGATATGAAGCCATCAAACTTTATCTGGCAACTCAATGTACTTGGCCTCAATAAAATACAACTATCTGTTAATTCATTCTCTGGATAGAGTCCCTCAAGGACAAAGGAGTGCATCCTATTAATATCTGATCTTCAGTTCTATCACATAGTAGGTTCTCAATTAAAACATACATATATTTATTGATCAAGTGTGCATATATCATGGATTTACTATGTGAGAGATATTATGCGAATGCCTATAAGGAATATAAAGACAATTAAGATGATAACCTCACCTATAATCAGAACATCAGAATAAAGTAATTAATAAGGAAAATAATAGGTATCTGGCACAAATAATTAGCCTAAAAATACTTATGGCACAGTTTCTGTGCATACTAAATACTAAAACCAATCAGTTTAAAATATAAAGATTTTAGACGAGGGGAAGATGGCGGAAGAGTAAGACGCGGAGATCACCTTCCTCCCCACAGATACACCAGAAATACATCTACACGTGGAACAACTCCTACAGAACACCTACTGAACGCTGGCAGAAGACCTCAGCCCTCCCAAAAGGCAAGAAACTCCCCACGTACCTGGGCAGGGCAAAAGAAAAAACAGAGACAAAAGAATAGGGACGGGACCTGCACCAGGGGGAGGGAGCTGTGAAAGAGGAAAGGTTTCCACACACTAGGAAGCCCCTTCGCAGGCGGAGACTGCCGGTGGCGGAGGGGGAAGCTTCGGAGCCGCGGAGGAGAGCGCAGCAACAGGGGGGCGGAGCGCAAAGTGGCGAGATTCCCGCACAGAGGATCGGTGCCGACCGGCACTCACCAGCCCGAGAGGCTAGTCTGCTCACCCGCTGGGGCGGGCGGGGCTGCGAGCTGAGGCTCGGGTTTCGGTCGGAGCGCAGGGAGAGGACTGGGGTTGGCGGCGTGAATACAGCCTGCAGGAGGTTAGTGCATCACGGCTGGCCAGGAGGGAGTCCGAGGAAAAGTCTGGACCTACCGAGAAGGCAAGAGACTTTTTCTTCCCTCTCTGTTTCCTGGTGCGCGATAAGAGGGGATTAAGAGCGCTGCTAAAAGGAGCTCCAGAGACGGGCTCGAGCCACGGCTAAAAGCGCGGACCCCAGAGACCTGCATGAGACGCTAAGGCTGCTGCTGCCGCCACCAAGAAGCCTCTGTGCGAGCACAGGTCACTATCCACACCCCCTTCCGGGGAGCCTGTGCAGCCCGCCACTGCCAGGGTCCCGGGATCCAGAAAAAACTTCTCCGGGAGAACGCACGGCACGCCTCAGGCTGGTGCAACGTCATGCCGGCCTCTGCCACCGCAGGCCCGCCCCGCACTCCGTGCCCCTCCGTCCCTCTGGCCTGAGTGAGCCAGAGCCCCCGACTCAGCGGCTCCTTTAACCCCGTCCTGTCTGAGCGAAGAACAGACGCACTCTTGAGACCTACACGCAGAGCGGGGGTCAAATCCAAAACTGAGCCCCTGGGAGCTGTGAGAACAAAGAAGAGAAAGGGAAATCTCTCCCAGCAGCCTCAGAAACAGCGGATTAAACCACCACAATCAACTTGATGTACGCTGCATCTGTGAATACATGAATAGACAACGAGTCATCCCATTTTGAGGAGGTGGACTTTGAGAGCAAGATTTATGATTTTTCCCCCTTTCCTCTTTTTGTGACTGTGTATGTGTATGCTTCTGTGTGAGATTTTGTCTGTATAGCTTTGCTTCCACCATTTGTCCTAGGGTTCTATCCGTCCATTTTTTTTTTCTTTTTAATTTTTTTTCTTAATAATTATTTTTTATTTTAATAACTTTATTTTATTTTATGTTATCTTCTTTCTTTCTTTCCTTCCCTCCCTCCTTTAGACAATGAATCATCCCAAATTGAGGAGATGGACTTTGAGAGCAAGATTTATGATCTTTTCCCCTTTTCCTCTTTTTGTGAGTGTGTATGTGTATACTTCTGTGTGAGATTCTGTCTGTAGAGCTTTGCTTCCACCATTTGTCCTAGGGTTCTATCCGTCCTTTTTTTTTTAATAATTATTTTTTATTTTAATAACTTTATTATATTTTATCTTACTTTATTTTACTTTATCTTCTTTCTTTCTCTCCTTCCTTCCCTCCTTCCTTCCTTCCTCCCTCCTTTCTTTCTTTCCTTCTTTCTTTCTACTTCTACTAATTCTTTCTTTCTGCTTTTTCTCCCTTTTATTCTGAGCCATGTGGATGAAAGGCTCTTGGTGCTGCAGCCAGGAGTCAGTGCTGTGCCTCTGAGGTGGGAGAGCCAACTTTAGGACACTGGTCCACAAGAGACCTCCCAGCTCCACATAATATCAAACGGCGAAAATCTCCCAATGATCTCCATCTCAACACCAGCACCCAGCTTCACTCAACAACCAGCAAGTTACAGTGCTGGACACCCTATACCAAACAACTAGCAAGACAAGAACACAACCCCACCCATTAGCAGAGAGGCTGCCTAAAATCATAATAAGTCCACAGACACCCCAAAACACACCACCAGACGTGGACCTGCCCACCAGAAAGACAAGATCCAGCCTCATCCACCAGAACACAGGCACTAGTCCCCTCCACCAGGAAGCCTACACAACCCATTGAACCAACCTTAGCCACTGGGGACAGACACCAAAAAAAACGGGAACTACGAACCAGCAGCCTGCAAAAAGGAGACCCCAAACTCAGTAAGATAAGCAAAATGAGAAGACAGAAAAACACACAGCAGATGAAGGAGCAAGATAAAAACCCACCAGACCTAACAAATGAAGAGGAAATAGGCAGTCTACCTGAAAAAGAATTCAGAATAATGATAGTAAAGACGATCCAAAATCTTGGAAATAGAATAGACAAAATGCAAGAAACATTTAACAAGGACCTAGAAGAACTAAAGATGAAACAAACAACGATGAACAACACAATAAATGAAATGAAAAATACTCTAGATGGGATCAATAGCAGAATAACTGAGGCAGAAGAACAGATAAGTGACCTGGAAGATAAAATAGTGGAAATAACTACTGCAGAGCAGAATAAAGAAAAAAGAATGAAAAGAACTGAGGACAGTCTCAGAGACCTCTGGGACAACATTAAACGCACCAACGTTCGAATTATAGGGGTCCCAGAAGAAGAAGAGAAAAAGAAAGGGACTGAGAAAATATTTGAAGAGATTATAGTTGAAAACTTCCCTAATATGGGAAAGGAAATAGTTAATCAAGTCCAGGAAGCACAGAGAGTCCCATACAGGATAAATCCAAGGAGAAACATGCCAAGACACATATTAATCAAACTGTCAAAAATTAAATACAAAGAAAACATATTAAAAGCAACAAGGGAAAAACAACAAATAACACATAAGGGAATCCCCATAAGGTTAACAGCTGATCTTTCAGCAGAAACTCTGCAAGCCAGAAGGGACTGGCAGGACACATTTAAAGCGATGAAGGAGAAAAATCTGCAACCAAGATTACTCTACCCAGCAAGGATCTCATTCAGATTTGATGGAGAAATTAAAACCTTTACAGACAAGCAAAAGCTGAGAGAGTTCAGCACCACCAAACCAGCTTTACAACAAATGCTAAAGGAACTTCTCTAGGCAAGAAACACAAGAGAAGGAAAAGACCTACAATAATGAACCCAAAACAATTAAGAAAATGGGAATAGGAACATACATATCGATAATTACCTTAAATGTAAATGGACTAAATACTCCCACCAAAAGACACAGATTGGCTGAATGGATACAAAAACAAGACCCATATACATGCTGTCTACAAGAGACCCACTTCAGACCTAGAGACACATACAGACTGAAAGTAAGGTGATGGAAAAAGATATTCCATGCAAATGGAAACCAAAAGAAACCTGGAGTAGCAATTCTCATATCAGACAAAATAGACTTTAAAATAAAGACTATTAAAAGAGACAAAGAAGGACACCACATAACGATCAAGGGATCAATCCAAGAAGAAGATATAACAATTGTAAATATTTATGGATGCAACATAGGAGCACCTCAATACATAAGGCAAATACTAACAGCCATAAAAGGGGAAATCGACCGTAACACATTCATAGTAAGGGACTTCAATACCCCACTTTCAACAATGGACAGATCATCCAAAATGAAAATAAATAAGGAAACACAAGCTTTAAATGATACATTAAACAAGATGGACTTAATTGATATTTATAGGACATTCCATCCAAAAACAACAGAATACACATTTTTCTGAGGTGCTCATGGAACATTCTCCAGGATAGACCATATCTTGGGTCACAAATCAAGCCTTGGTAAATTTAATAAATTTGAAATTGTATCAAGTATCTTTTCCGACCACAACGCTATGAGACTAGATATCAATTACAGGAAAAGATCTGTAAAAAATACAAACACATGGAGACTAAACAATACACTACTTAATAACAAAGTGATCAGTGAAGAAATCAAAGAGGAAATAAAAAAATACCTAGAAACCAATGGCAATGGAGACACAACGACCCACAACCTATGGGATGCAGCAAAAGCAGTTCTAAGAGGGAAGTTTATAGCAATACACTCCTACCTTAAGAAACAGGAAACATCTCAAATAAACAACCTAACCTTGCACCTAAAGCAATTAGAGAAAGAAGAACAAAAAAATTCCCAAAGTTAGCAGAAGGAAAGAAATCATAAAAATGAGATCAGAAATAAATGAAAAAGAAATTAAGGAAATGAGAGCAAAGATCAATAAAACTAAAAGCTGGTTCTTTGAGAACATAAACAAAATTGATAAACCATTAGCCAGACTCAACAAGAAAAAAGGGGAGAAGACTCAAATCAATAGAATTAGAAATGAAAAAGGAGAAGTAACAACTGACACTGTAGAAATACAAAAGATCACGAGAGATTACTACAAGCAACTCTATGCCAATAAAATGGACAACCTGGAAGAAACAGACAAATTCTTAGAAATGCACACCCTGCCAAGACTGAATCAGGAAGAAATAGAAAATAGGAACAGACCAATCACAAGCACTGAAATTGAAACTGTGATTAAAAATCTTCCAACAAACAAAAGCCCAGGACCAGATGGCTTCACAGGCGAACTCTATCAAACATTTAGAGAAGAGCTAACACCTATCCTTCTGAAACTCTTCCAAAATATAGCAGAGGGAGGAACACTCCCAAACTCATTCTATGAGGCCACCATCACCTTGATACCAAAACCAGACAAGGATGTCACAAAGAAAGAAAACTACAGGCCAATATCACTGATGAACATAGATCAAAAATCCTCAACAAAATACTAGCAAACAGAATCCAACAGCACATTAAAAGGATCATACACCATGATCGAGTGGGGTTTATTCCAGGAATGCAAGGATTCTTCAATATATGCAAATCAATCAATGTGATACACCATATTAACAAATTGAAGGAGAAAAACCATATGATCATCTCAATAGATGCAGAGAAAGCTTTCGACAAAATTCAACACCCATTTATGATAAAAACCCTGCAGAAAGTAGGCATAGAGGGAACTTTCCTCAACATAATAAAGGCCATATATGACAAACCCACAGCCAACATCGTCCTCAATGGTGAAAAACTGAAAGCATTTCCACGAAGATCAGGAACAAGACAAGGTTGCCCACTCTCACCACTCTTATTCAACATAGTTTTGGAAGTTTTAGCCACAGCAATCAGAGAAGAAAAGGAAATAAAAGGAATCCAAATCGGAAAAGAAGTAAAGCTGCCACTGTTTGCAGATGACATGATACTATACATAGAGAATCCTAAAGATGCTACCGGAAAACTAGTAGAGCTAATCAATGAATTTGGTAAATTAGCAGGATATAAAATTAATGCACAGAAATCTCTGGCATTTTTATACACTAATGATGAAAAATACGAAAGTGAAATCAAGAAAACACTCCCGTTTACCATTGCAACAAAAAGAATAAAATATCTAGGAATAAACCTACCTAAGGAGACAAAAGACCTGTATGCAGAAAATTATAAGACACTGATGAAAGAAATTAAAGATGATACAAATAGATGGAGAGATATACCATGTTCTTGGATTGGAAGAATCAACATTGTGAAAATGACTCTACTACCCAAAGCAATCTACAGATTCAATGCAATCCCTATCAAACTACCACTGGCATTTTTCACAGAACTAGAACAAAAAATTTCACAATTTGTATGGAAACACAAAAGACCCTGAATAGCCAAAGCCATCTTGAGAACGAAAAACGGAGCTGGAAGAATTAGGCTCCCTAACTTCAGACTATACTACAAAGCTACAGTAATCAAGACAGTATGGTACTGGCACAAAAACAGAAAGATAGATCAATGGAACAGGACAGAAAGCCCAGAGATAAACTCATGCACATATGGTCACCTTTTCTTTGATAAAGGAGGCAAGAATGTACAGTGGAGAAAGGACAGCCTCTTCAATAAGTGGTGCTGGGAAAACTGGACAGGTACATGTAAAAGTATGAGATTAGATAACTCCCTAACACCATACACAAAAATAAGCTCAAAATGGACTAAAGACCTAAATGTAAGGCCAGAAACTATCAAACTCTTAGAGGAAAACATAGGCAGAACACTCTATGACATAAATCACAGCAAGATCCTTTTTGACCCACCTCCTAGAGAAATGGAAATAAAAACAAAAATAAACAAATGGGACCAATGAAACTTCAAAGCTTTTGCACAGCAAAGGAAACCAAAAACAAGACAAAAAGACAACCCTCAGAATGGAGAAAATATTTGCAAATGAAGCAACTGACAAATGATTAACCTCCAAAATTTATAAGCAGCTCAATAACAAAAAACCAAACAACCCAATCCAAAAATGGGCAGAAGACCTAAATAGACATTTCTCCAAAGAAGATATACAGACTGCCAACAAACACATGAAAGAATGCTCAACATCATTAATCATTAGAGAAATGCAAATCAAAATTACAATGAAATATCATCTCACACGGGTTCAGAATGGCCATCATCAAAAAATCTGTAAACAATAAATGCTGGAGTAGGTGTGGAAAAAAGGGAACCCTCTTGCACTGTTGGTGGGAATGTAAATTGATACAGCCACTATGGAGAACAGTATGGAGGTTCCTTAAAAAAGTGCAAATAGAACTACCATATGACCCAGCAATCCCACTACTGGGCATATACCCTGAGAAAACCATCATTCAAAAAGAGTCATGTACCAAAATGTTCATTGCAGCTCTATTTACAATAGCCAGGAGATGGAAACAACCTAAGTGTCCATCATCAGATGAATGGATAAAGAAGATGTGGCACATATATACAATGGAATATTACTCACACATAAAAAGAAATGAAATTGAGCTATTTGTAATGAGGTGGATAGACCTAGAGTCTGTCATACAGAGTGAAGTAAGTTATAAAGAGAAAGACAAATACTGTATGCTAACACATATATATGGAATTTAAGAAAAAAAAATGTCATGAAGAACCTAGGGGTAAGACAGGAATAAAGACACAGACCTACTAGAGAATGGACTTGAGGATATGGGGAGGGGAAGGGTAAGCTGTGACAAAGCGAGAGAGGCATGGACATATATACACTACCAAACGTAAGGTAGATAGCTAGTGGGAAGCAGCCGCATAGCACAGGGAGATCAGCTCGGTGCTTTGTGACCGCCTGGAGGGGTGGGATAGGGAGGGAGATGCAAGAGGGAAGAGATATGGGAGCATATGTATATGTATAACTGATTCACTTTGTTATAAAGCAGAAACTAACACACCATTGTAAAGCAATTATACTCTAATAAAGATGTAGAAAAAAATAAAAAAGAAGCATAAGGACTTCCCTGGTGGCACAGTGGTTAAGAATCCGCCTGCTAATGCAGGGGACACAGGTTCGATCCCTGGTCCGGGAAGATCCCACATGCCATGGAGCAACTAAACCTATGCACCACAACTACTGAGCCTGTGCTCTAGAGCCTGCGAACCACAACTACTGAGCCTGTGCTCTAGAGCCCATGAGCCACGACTACTGAGCCCGCTTGTCACAACTACTGCAGCCCGTGTGCCTAGAGACTGTGCTCTGCAACAAAGAGAAGCCACCACAATGAGAAGCCCGCGCACCACAACGAAGACCCAATGCAGCCAAAAAATAAATAAATAAATTTATAAAAGATAAATATAAAGCATATTTAACACTAAAAAAACAAAAACAAAACATAACGATTTATATCAACCTTGTTCCTTAGGAGGAAAATAATTTGCTTACAATTTCCATTTCTTTCATCTTTTCTTGTGTCCGTTCAGTTTCTTTTTTCAGTTGACTTATCTCCTGTTCATTTTGTAGTGTTATAAACTCTTTTTCTCGAAGTTGTTCTTTGGCATTTTGCAATTTTTCATTCAAACCTTCTATCTGAATTTTAAACAGAGCAATGTTAATGTAACTAAAGAAAAATAATTCTTCAGTCATAACTGCAATCCAAGTAAGTCAGGTTTTAAACATGTATATCTAAAATAGCAAAAATTTTAAAATGTTTTTTTTTTCTTTTTTTTTTTAGAAGAGAGTGAGTTTATTAGAACAAAGAGCCAAAAATATGTTTTTCTTAAAACAACCATAACTTTGACATAAGTATCAGAATTCTTGTGCCTAATAAAATGCTTATATGTATACCTAAAATATACTAAAAGAGATGACAGTCTCAATCACATTTGTGTAAGAAAGGAAAATAAAGGTACGTTAAAACAACACACATTACATGGCCTTCAAAATAATTTTACAGGTAATTATCTGCATGAAGTAAAAAATACAATTAGTGAAAACAAACTCCCCTTCTTTACTATGTTCCTTCCTTAGAGGCAACCACAGTTAACAGAATTACTTGCAAATCCTTCCAGAGATATTTTATACATATTCAGATATGCACACATTATAATAAATATGTGAACACGTTGACATACAAAAAAAATACATTCAAAATAACATTAAAAGGGTAAGCACCAGAAGCCGGGGAGTCAGAGAAAAGGAAAAATGTGGTGGAAGGGTACAAAGTTTCAGTTAGGCAGGATGAATAAATTCTGGAGATACAATGTATGGCACAGTGAATGACTGTAATTAGTAATACTATGTTGTATACTTGATAAGTGTTCTCATAAAAAAAAAAAAGTAACTATATGAGATTGTAGATATGTTAATTAGTTTGATTACTGTAATTATGTCATAATGTATGTGTATATTAAAACATCATGTTGTACATCTTAAATATATGCCATTTTTTGTCAATTATACCTCAATAAAGCTGGGGAAAAAATTGAGAAGAAAATGAATATAACATAGGATGTACAAGATAATTAAAATTATGCAGTAATGGGAATTCCCTGGCAATCCTGTGGTTAGGACTCCATGCTGTCACTGCCAAGGGTCCAGGTTCAATCCCTGGTTGGGGAACTAAGATCCCACAAGCTACACAGCACAGTGAAAAAACAATAAATTAATAAATAAATAATAAAGTAAAACAATGCAGTATGTTTATTGTTTGTATTCTATTAAAAAGCTGTATTATGTGAATAACAGATGCTTACAGTTAAGGATTTATTTTTTTAAAATAATTTAAGACATGTAATTTTTAATAATTTACCTGTTTGTTGCTTTCTTTAAGTTCCAATTCTGATTTCTCCAGAGTACCCTCTAATTTAATTATTTTCTGTTCCATTTCTCCCCTGTACTCACGAATAGTCATATCCAAATATGTAACCTAAGTACAAAAGCAACATTAAGCTGTCACTCAATTTTATTCTAACATGGAAAACTGTGTGCTTGCAATGTGATTTAGAATTGTTTATAGTGGGTATAACTAAAGAATAAATGCATCTCAAATAAATTATTAAAAAGAATGAGATAGGGGCTTCCCTGGTGGTGCAGTGGTTGACAGTCCGCCTGCCAATGCAGGGGACATGGGTTCGTGCCCCGGTCTGGGAGGATCCCACATGCCGCGGAGTGGCTGGGCCCATGGGCCATGGCTGCTGAGCCTGCACGTCCAGAGCCTGTGCTCCGCAACGAGAGAAGGCACAACAGTGAGAGGCCCGCGTACCGCAAAAAAAAAAACAACAAAAAAAAGAATGAGACAAATAATCATTGCTTAATAATACTGGATCTTGAGCCTGATATATGATTATGCTCACATAAGTGACAAATAAAATGATTCAAACTTCATTTTATGCTTGATAAAAGCTGCTAGGGCTTCCCTGGTGGTGCAGTGGTTAAGAATCCGCCTGCCAATACAGGGGACATGGGTTCTATCCCTGGTCCGGGAAGATCCCACATGCCGCGGAGCAACTAAGCCTGTCCACCACAACTACTGAGCCTGCACTCTAGAGCCCGTGTGCCAAAACTACTGAATCCACATGCTGCAAGTACTGAAGCCCACGCACCTAGAGCCCGTGCTCCACAACAAAGAGAAGTAACCGCAATAAGAAGCCCGCACACTGCAACCAAGAGTAGCTCCCGCTCGCCACAACTAGAGAAAGCCCACGCACAGCAATAAAGACCAAATGCAGCCCCCCCAAAATCAATAAAATTTAAGAAAAAAAAAGCTGCTAAATAACAATGCAACATGAAAATTGTGGGATGCAGCAAAAGCACTGCTTGGAGGAACATCTAAAGCATTGAATGCATATATTAGAAAAGAAGAAAGGGGCTTCCCTGGTGGTGCAGTGGTTGAGAGTCCGCCTGCCAATGCAGGCGACACAGGTCCGGGAAGATCCCACATGCCACGGAGTGGCAGGGCCCGTGAGCCATGGCTGCTGAGCCTGCGCGTCTGTAGCCTGTGCTCCTCAACGGGAGAGACCACAACAGTGAGAGGCCCGCATACCGCAAAAGAAAAAAAAAAAAAAAGAAGGCCTAAAATCAGTCATCTAAGCTTCCACCTTGGGTAACTAGAAAAAGAAGAGCAAATTAAATCCAAACTAAGCAGAAAAAAAAATAATAAAAATTAGAGCAGAACTCAATGAAATTAAAATTGGGAAATCAATAGAGAAAATCAACAAAGCCAAAAGCTGGTTCTTTGAAAAGATCAATAATATAAATAAGTCTCCAGCCAGACTAACTTAAAAAAAAAAAGAGAGAGGATATAAATTGCTAATATGAGAAATGAAAGAGGAGATATTACTACAAATCTCAAGGACATTAAAAGGATAATAGAGAAATATTAAAAACAACCCTTTGCCCATGAATTTAATAAAACTAGATGAAATAGACGAGTTACTCGAAAGGCACAATCTGCCAAAACTCACACAAGAAGAGACAATCTGAATAAGCCTATATCTATTAAAGAAATTCAATAAATGATTAATAACTTTCCAAAACAGAAAGCACCAGACTCAGATGGATTCATTGCTGAATTCTACCAGACATTTAAGGAAGAAATTATACTAATTCTCTACACTCTCACTTAGTAGATAGAAGCAGAGGAAATACTAACTCATTCTCTGAGGCCAGCATTACCCTGATACCAAAACCAGACAGAGACATTATAAAGAAAGAAAATTACAGACCAGTATCTTTCATGGACATAGATATAAAAATTCTCAATAAAATATTATTGAATCATACCCAACGATGTATAAAAAGAACTATATACCACAACAAGCGGGATTTTTTCTAGGTATGAAAGGCTTTTTCAACATTTGAAAATTAATTAATGTAACTGATCATATCAATAGGCTAAAGAAGAAAATCACATGATCATATTAATAGATGCAGAAAAAAAATTTGACAAAATCCAACATCTATTCATGATAAAAACTCTTGGTAAACTAGGAATAGAGAGTAACTACCTCAACTTGATAAAGAATATCTAAAAAAAACTAACAGCTAACATGAGAAACTCAAAGTTTTCCCATTAAGATCAGATACAAGGCAAAGATATTCCATTGTACCACTTCTTTTCAACATTGTACAGGATGTCCTAGCTAATGCAGTAAGACAAGAAAAGGAAATAAAAGGTATACAGGTTGGGAACAAAGACATAAAACTGTCTTTGTTTGCAGATGACATGATGATTTAGGTAGAAAATCCAAAGGATTTGACAAAAGAATTCCTGGAACTAATAAGTGATTATAGCAGGTTGCAGGATACAAGGTTAATACACGAAAATCAATTGCTTTCCCATGTACCAGCAATGAACAAGAGAAATTTGAAGTTAAAAACAAAATTATCATTTATATTAGCATTCTCCAAAATGAAATAGTTATAAATCTAAACATATTCAAGATCTATATATGGAAAACTAAAACTCCAATGAAAGAAATCAAAGAATTATATAAATGGAGAGAGAGTTCACGTTCATGGATAGGAAGACTTAATATTGTCAAGATGTCAGTTCTTCCCAACTTGATGTATAGATTCAAGGCAATGCCAATCAAAATCCCAGCAAGTTATTTTGTGTATATCAACAAACTGCTTCTAAAGTTTATAGGGAGAGGCAAAAAACCCAGAAGAGCCAACACAATTTTGAAAGAGAACAAAGTTGGAAAACTGACATTACTCAACTTCAAGACTTACTAAAAAGGTACAGTAATCAAGACAGTGTGGTACTGATGAAAGAATAGGTGAATAAATCAATGGAACAGAAGAGACCAGAAACAAACCCATGTAGATATAGTCGACTGATCTTTGACAAAGGAGCCAAGGCAATACAAGATGTCCTTCAATAGGTGAATGGATAAATAAACCATAATATATCCAGGCAATGGAATGCTATTCCATGCTAAAAAGAAATAAGCTTTGAAAAGACACGGAGGAAACTTAAATGCATATTACTAAGTGAAAGAAGCCAATCTGAAAAGGCTACAATACAATATGATTCCAACTGTATGACATTCTGGAAAAGGCAAAACTACAAAGACAGCAAAAAATCAGTGGTTGCCAGGGTTGGGATAAGAGGGAGAGGGATGAATAGGTGGGGCACAGAGGATTTTTAGGGCAGTGAAAATATTCTGAATGATACCATAATGACGGATAGCTGTCCAAACTCCTAGAATGTATAACACAAAAGTAAACTGTAAACTATGGACTTTGGGTGATTATGAAGTGTCAATGTATCAATAGGTTCATCAGCTTTAACAAATGTACCATTCTGGCAGGGAATGTTGATAATGGGGAAGGCTGTGCATCTGTGGGGGTGGGGCGTTTACAGGAAATCTCTCTACCTGCTGCTCAATTTTGCTGTGAACCTAAAACTGCTCTAAAAAATAAAGTCTTTTAAAAAAGATGTTGCTAAATAATGTCTTCTGAATATTTTTCTTCCTCCAATAAATACTAGCTGAGCAAGTAACTCCTTTAATCCCATTTTCTTCTGATATACAGTATTAAAAGAGATCAAAAGGTTCAGATACTAAGCTAAACTTCGTTCCAGAAAATCCACCTGCTATAAAAATAGCAAGATAAAGAGAGACGACATATTTCTAATTTTAAAAATATTTATGTGCACAGAAAAAAGAAATACCTATAAAGGGACTTCCCTGGTGGCACAGTGGTTAAGAATCTGCCTACCAATGCAGGGGACACGGGTTCGAGCCCTGGTCCGGGAAGATCCCACATGCTGCGCAGCAACTAAGCCCACGAGCCACAACTACTGAGCCTGCGCTCTAGAGCCCACGAGCCACAACTACTGAGCCCATGCACCACAACTGAAGCCCACATGCCTAGAGCCCGTGCTCTGCAACGAGAAGCCACCTCAATGAGAAGCGCACACACAGCAATGAAGAGTAGAGAAAGCCCACTCATAGCAACAAAGACCTAACACACCAAAATAAATGAATTTTTTAAAAAAAATTTATAAAAATGTCTATTTTGCCAAAAAGAGGGGACCTCTGAAACCTTGTGCGATTGTATTTTAACAGAAAATTTCATTAAAATATAGTTTAAAAATATATATATATATATATATATAGTTAAGAAAACCAACTTGAGCTGCTCTTTGCTTTAGCTCCCAATTTCTCTCCTTAAGTGCCTGATCCATTTCAAGGAGTTCTTGCTTTTTGTCTTCAATCTCCATCTTGCATTCCCTGCAATTTATCAAAGTGAAAAAGATCTAAGCAAATAAATAGGAATATTATAGTTTCAAAAAAATTAAATCAAGTGGGTTACCTTTCCTGTAAGTTAAAAGTGATAGGATATATTCAACTATTTCAGATTGAGAGCTCACATTAAAGGAATAATGTATAAAGAAAATGACTGATATCAATGCAACTACTTTAACAGAGTGTTCTAAAAAGGCAAAAGTTAACTCAGATTCTACTATTGGAGACAATTTAAGCTAAATGTTAAAAGCACTACCAGGGAATAAGATTGAATCAGTATAAGAATTTAAAAAATATATCTATATTTTTTCATCTATAGATCAAAGGAGTGTTTGAAAGTCTTTTATATATAATAGCTGTGAGTTCACTATAACTGAACGAGGCATTTATCTCATGATTGATGTCCCTGATATCCAAAGCTCAGTAAACGACCACTGTATTTCTTATGGGAATTTTTTTTTTAACATCTTTATTGGAGTATAATTGCTTTACAATGGTGTGTTAGCTTCTGCTTTATAACAAAGTGACTCAGTTATACATATACATATGTTCCCATATCTCTTCCCTCTTGCGTCTCCCTCCCTCCCACCCATCTAGGTGGTCACAAACCACAGAGCTGATCTCCCTGTGCTATGTGGCTACTTCCCACTAGCTATCTATTTTACATTTGGTAGTGTATATATGTCCATGCCACTCTCTCACTTTGTCACAGCTTACCCTTCCCCCTCCCCATATCCTCAAGTCCATTCTGTAGTAGGTCTGTCTTTATTCCCGTCTTGCCCCTAGGTTCTTCATGACCTTTTTTTTTTTCCTTAGATTCCATATATATGTGTTAGCATACGGTATTTGTTTTTCTCTTTCTGACTTACTTCACTCTGTATGACAGACTCCAGGTCCATTCACCTCACTACAAATAACTCAGTTTTCTTTTTATGGCTGAGTAATATTCCATTGTATATATGTGCCACATCTTCTTTATCCATTCATCTGATGATGGACACTTAGGTTGCTTCCATCTCCTGGCTATTGTAAATAGAGCTGCAATGAACATTTTGGTACATGACTCTTTTTGAATGATGGTTTTCTCAGGGTATATGCCCAGTAGTGGGATTGCTGGGTCATATGGTAGTTCTATTTGCAGTTTTTTAAGGAACCTCCGTACTGTTCTCCATAGTGGCTGTATCAATTTACATTCCCACCAACAGTGCAAGAGGGTTCCCTTTTTTCCACACCTACTCCAGCATTTATTGTTTACAGATTTTTTGATGATGGCCATTCTGAACCCGTGTGAGATGATATTTCATTGTAATTTTGATTTGCATTTCTCTAATGATTAATGATGTTGAGCATTCTTTCATGTGTTTGCTGGCAATCTGTATATCTTCTTTGGAGAAATGTCTATTTAGGTCTTCTGCCCATTTTTGGATTGGGTTGTTTTTTTGACATTGAGCTGCATGAGCTGCTTGTAAATTTTGGAGATTAATCCTTTGTCAGTTGCTTCATTTGCAAGTATTTTCTCCCATTCCGAACGTTGTCTTTTTGTCTTGTTTACGGTTTCCTTTGCTGTGCAAAAGCTTTTAAGTTTCATTAGGTCCTACCTGTTTATTTTTGTTTTTATTTCCATTTCTCTAGGAGGTGGGTCAAAAAGGATCTTGCTGTGATTTATGTCATAGAGTGTTCTGCCTATGTTTTCCTCTAAGAGTTTGATAGTGTCTGGCCTTACCATTTAGGTCTTTAATCCATTTTGAGTTTATTTTTGTGTATGGTGTTAGAGAGTGTTCTAATTTCATACTTTTACATGTACCTGTCCAGTTTTCCCAGCACCAGTTATTGAAGAGGCTGTCTTTTCTCCACTGTATATTCTTGCCTCCTTTATCAAAGATAAGGTGACCATATATGCATGGGTTTATCTCTGGCTTTCTCAGATTCTACTATTGGAGACAATTTAAGCTAAATGTTAAAAGCACTACCAGGGAATAAGACTGAATCAGTATAAGAATTTTAAAAATATATCTATATTTTTTCATCTATAGATCAAAGGAGTGTTTGCAAGTCTTTTATATATAATAGCTGTGAGTTCACTATAATTGAACGAGGCATTTATCTCATGATTGATGTCCCTGATATCCAAAGCTCAGTAAACGACCACTGTATTTCTTATGGAAATTTTACTCAAAATGACACCTTACATTTAGTGAAGTATTGAAGTCTAATATAGAAATATTTTAAATGTATTTTTTAAATGTATTTTTTATAAATTCTAAACCTCTTAAAACACTAACTTATGAATAATTTTATATATAAAAATGCTTAAAATGACACAATTTTAATATTTATAGCACTCTAAAGCCTCTGATCAGAGAATTTTAATTTCAAACTCTAAGTTCTGATATCACAAAGGATGAAAATGTTGTTGATCTTGAATCTTCATATGATTTTCCAATCTTAAATATGAAACAATATAATAAAGGTGCTGACTTTAAAAAGCAGATTCTGAACTTCTTTAATGAGATGTTTACTGTTCTCCTAAAAGCCTGAAGAGTTCATACAAGGCTAAACTTATATTCTAAAAGTAATATGAAATGAATTCTAAAGATAGCTCTAATTGCTGTCTATATAAATAGCTGCACTTCCAAAATTCAGCTACTATCTAGAATTTTAAGTTTTGTTTTACTTCTTTTATCCATTCATTCCCTTCATCATTTAGCAAATATTTATTGGATGTTTCTTATATGTCAAGGTTCTATGTACAGTGGAATTAATAGGCAACAGGATAGATGTTGTTCATTACAGAGAGCTTACATTCTACTAGGTCAAGAGATGGACTATAAATAATAAACAACTCAACATGAAAAATATAATACAAAGTGCTATGTTAGAACATTAAATACAGTGATGAGATCGTGACTGGGAGGCTATGTTAGAATAGGTGGTCAGGGAAGGGCCCTTTGAGGTAATGTGAAGGGTATGAAGAAGTTGGCCATACAACCATTATTTCAGGCCGAAGAAACAGCTATGACAAAAGTCCTAAGGTGGGAAAAAACTTGGTAAACTTTAAGTACAATAAAAAAGCCAGGAGCAAGCAGAACAATATGAAATGAGGCCAGAGAAGTAGGCAGGAACCTTGGGCTTTGTATTACAGGAAAAGGAGCTTGTATTTTTTTTTTTTTTGGTTGTTGTAAAATACATATAACATAAGATTTACCATTTTAACCACTTTAAAGTGTACAATGCAGTTACACTAAGTACATTGACAATGTTGTGTAACCGTTACCACTATTTCCAGTACTTTTTCATCATTCTGAATGGAAACCCCATATCCATTAGCAGTTTTTTCCATTCTCCCTTCCCCCAGTCCCTGGCAACAATTAATCTGCTTTCTATCTCTATGGATTTGCTAATTCTGAATATTTCATATAAATGGAATTATGCAACATATATGTGGTTTCTTTCATTTAGCATAATATTTTCAAGGTTCATCCATGTTGTAGCATGTTTCAGTACTCTATTCCTTTTCATGGCTGATTAATATTCCTTGTATGGATACACCACACTGTGTTTATCCATTTACAACTACCAGTGTACAGCTGGGTCGTTTCCACTTATTGGTTATTGGGAATAGCCGTACTATGAACATTTGTGCAAAATTTTTGTTTGAACACCTGTTTTCAATTCTTTTGGGTACTTACCTAGGAGTGGAATTACTGAGTTATATGGTTAATGTATGTTTAAATTATTGAGGAACTGCCACACTGTTTTCCACAGAGGCTGTAACCATTTTAGTTTACCATTTGTTATTTTCTGCTTGGATTTTTGTGTGTGTGTGTGGTATGCAGGCCTCTCACTGTTGTGGCGTCTCCCGTTGCGGAGCACAGGCTCCGGACGCGCAGGCTCAGCGGCCATGGCTCACGGGCCCAGCCGCTCCGTGGCATGTAGGATCTTCCTGGACCAGGGCACGGACAGGCGGACTCTCAACCACTGCGCCACCAGGGAAGCCCTTCTGCTTGGATTTTTTTTGTTTGTTTTTATTATGGCCATCTTAGTCGGATTGAAGTGGTATCGATTTACATTTCCCAAGGAGCTTGGTTACTATTCTGAATCTTTTGGGAAGCCATTAGAAGATTAAGTAGGGAAGCAATATGATCTGATTTATGTTTTGAATCATAAACTTAAATCAATTCTGTGGAGAATGAATTATGGGGAAGGTCAAGAATTTAAGCTGGTAGACCAGGTGGGAAGCCACAGCAACAGACCAGGTGAGAGATGATGATGGCTTGTGCTAAGGTGGTAGTAGAAAAAATAAGAAATCAATAGATTTCAGAATATGTTTTAGAAATAAAGTTGACATGACTTGCTAATAGACTGGATGAAAAAAGGGAGGGAAAGAGATAAAAATAATCTTATAGATTTCTGGTTTAAGCAACTGCATAATAATGAGATGGAGGAAGGGCAGGGTTATGAGTAAAAAAAATGAATTGTTTTAGCCACGTTTAAGATGCCTCTTTAAAATACGTCAGTGGAGATAACAAGTAGGTCATTAGATATGAGTCTGGAGTTTGGAGAAGAGGTCTTTCTAGAGATATGGGTTTGGAAGTCTCTGACACATAGTATTTAAAGCTATGTGAAATTTACCAAAAATGAATTTGTGGGTAGAAAAGAGAAGGGGTCCTGCTCTGAACCAAAGGTTACAATATCTAAGATTCTGGGTCACCTTGCTTCTCTCTATCCTGTTCTTTCATTACACATTTCACATCCTGCTCTGTTTTCCTTTTCAGAATCCATTTCCTACACTTTGGCTCCAGTCTGGCTCTCCACCCCTACTCACCACAGATGTGTACTGGAACAGCATTTTATGCTATTGCTGCTAATCTAAGAACCCAGATTTTAGAGTTGGACAGACTGTGTTTCACTCCCCTCTCTGGACCCTACTATCTGACTTTGGGCATTTTACTTAATTTTCTCAAGCCTCAGTTTTCTCAAGCATAAAAAGGTGATAATAAGCAACTCATAGGTTTGTTGTAAAGAAATGATTGAGATCATATATGAAGTCCCTGCCATAGTGCTGGCACAAAATTAGGGCTTAACACAAAGAACAACATTGTTATTGTTAATATTATTTTTCTATTCATCAGTGCTGTATGCTGGTCCAATCATTTTTTACCACTATGGGATACAGGAGAGGGCCAATGTAAAATGGTCCAAAGAACAAGGATGGAAGTATTAGCCAACAGCAACAGCTATATTAGTGAGATGGAGCATGGGATGAACTGCCTAGGATGAGACACAGTGAGCTAAAGGCAGTTGAGAAGTTTGGACATCTAGAATTCAACAACAAACTCTATAGTATGACCCAAGGACTAAGGGTAATAAAGTGAAGTACCTGTAACTGTGATATCATTTTTTAGTATTTAACTCACCTAAGTTCAGCTGTGAGATCCGTTATAGTAGTGTATTTTTCCTCTAATGATAACTGAGCCTTCTGTAGAACATCTCTCAATTCCTGGAGTTGTCTTAAAGTACTCTTTAATTCTCCATGAGCATTTTGTAGTTCAGTCTCTAGTACTTCCCGTTTCTGCAAGGCTTCTGTTAGTTCAGTTTCAGTGTGGTGCTGTAACTTTTCTAACTCCTTCACTGTTAAAAGCAGAGAATAATTTTAGAATTATATATATAAACTACTTGTTATTCAGAAATTTGTAAGCAATTATAATTAAGAATATCCAATTTTATTCATCTATAAGAGGCAAAATACCACTGATTGTCCCTTCCCCGTCATCTCAAATTCCCACTTTATTCCATTTCTTTAAATATACAAATGCAGGCAGCTAAGCTGAGCTAACCTGTTGCTTACCAGCGTTTGTTTTCTTATCTAGTTCTGTCTTTGTCTGTTCTAATATCATGTCTAACTGAGAGAGATGCATTGCTTTATTTTCTCCATCTCGTTTTAGGTGCTTTATTTCTTTTTCCATTTTATACAGTTCTTCTTTGTAGTGATCCATCTCAAGTTTTACTTGCCTAATTAAAAACAAAAAATAAAATAAATAATAATTTGGAAACTTAAAAATCAACTAACTTATCTCTGACTGAACAAAGTCTGCAAGTTATATAAAGACAAATATCAGCAAAATGTCTAGTCATCGTGGGATGAATTGGGAGATTGGGATTGGGATTGACATATATATACTATATATGACATATATATACTAATATGTATAAAATGGATAACTAATAAAAACCTGCTGTATAAAAAAAATGTCTAGTCAGAGTCTTAAATCACCTATTATATTGTTAAAAATGCTCCAACTAATAGATTGTAATTCTGTACCAATTACATGCCACTAAACACAACTATATGATGTATTTACCTAGTACACTACCTGGCACACAAAAGGTGCTCAATGAATTTGTTTTCTTTCTATTTGGAGATATTTTAATTTTTTTTTTAAGATTTTTTTTTTTTGATGTGGACCATTTTTAAAGTCTTTATTGAATTTGTTATAATATTGCTTCTGTTTTATGTTTTGGCTTTTTGGCCGCGAGGCATGTGGGATCTTAGCTCCATGACGAGGGATGAACCTGCACTCCCTGCACTGGAAGGCGAGGTCTTAACCACTGGACCACCAGGAAAATCCCTGAGATATTTTAATTTTAAAACAGATCCACGGAGATATATAACAGATATATTTTAACTCTAAACCCTTTTGGGAGAGAAAAACAGTTTTATAAATTATAGTTTCAGAAGTGAAAGAAGCAATAATTGGAACAGAGAAAAACCCTGCTTCATGAAGAGATCTTGGAACTAGATATATCTTTCTTATGAAGTTTATTCATCTGGTTCATAAGCTTCCTACTAGTAATTAGAAATTATTTTACCCACTGAATGTGCCTATTAGCTATAATTAAGAAGAGTTTTTGTCTAGAAGTCAAAGGGTGGGAGTAAGAAAAGAAAGAAGCAGTTATTTCAATTTTCTTAGTGAAACAAAAGCAAGATCATCAGTGAGAGCAAGGATTGGGGAGGGGTTGTTAGAGTTTTGAAAGAAAAGGCAAAGGTGTAAAAGAGTCCTCTACAAGAGTAAGTAACATTGTGATTGCCAGACAGACAGCATTAAGAAAATGCCTAAGGTTTTGAAGTTATGGGTATAAAGTAAGACTGGTCAGTGTCGTTATATTTTTCTCCAGCCTCTGTAAAGATGCAAGCATGAATTAGTCTGAGTTGGATTTTTAGTTCTGTGTACACAAAGTAAGAGAGAGGTAAAGGAGTTGTGGGTTTATGTAAATCAGTGATTTTAATGATTAATTAGAATTTAAGCTAGGTAAAGAGAGGAGAAAGGGCATTAGGGAATGAGACAGTGGTAGAACTGATAGATCAGAGGTCCTAGTTACATCAAAGAATTGTTGAATTTGGGATATTAAAGGGAATGAGGTAATAATATAGAGGTAGATGCATAGTATTCAGATTATGTTGAAATAATGGAGATATCAGAAACGATAAGATCTAGGATAAATCATGTGAGTGAGTGGCTGAGGATCAGCTAGATAGATGTATATTGAAATCCCCAAGAATAAAGACAGGAGTAGTGTTGGAAAGAGCTATGTAAGTCAGGTGGCCTGTAGGTGTCAGCAACAACGAGGGATGATATGATCTGATGACATGAGGTTCATGGTGTATGTCATACTATTTCCCATCTCAACCCTGTGGTACAAGAACTATGGGGAAAAGTTTTTACTTTAGAGAGCTGCAGGGGAAGAAGCAATGTCCTCAGGGGACAGTCACATTTCTGTTACAGCAAGAGAAAAGAAGAGATAGAGAATATAGGGAATGTCTTTCAGGATGGACTGTAAATTCCAGAGGATAAAGTGGAAATCTTTCACAAGTTCAGATGCGGTGGGAAAAGGGAAGAAAATACATGAGGAGGTTTTTGGGACTTAGTAAGAGAGATGAGGGTAAATCTAACGCCTGGAAATCTGATGCTTCTGTGGAATCTGGCACAAGCAAAGATAAAGTTACAATGTTGATTAGTTTTTGTGGAATTAAGGTACACACTGGTGGTGAGGCTGTGTTAGTGGATAGACAAATATCAATGGCAGAAAGAAGGTCTGAAGAACTGTGGTCTTAGTCTTAAACATAGGATATCTTCTTGACCCCACTGAGAGAGTTGAGGATATCTGGGTAAGCAAGTTGCTACTCAAAGCACAAAGGCCCTACCTTTATTCCTGTCAGAGGGGGAGAGGGAGTCTGAGGATGTTGTGGTTTAAGTTCAAATGCATAAGTTAACTCTTATTCCTGTTGGTAGAATGGTGGGCTAATTAAGAGTTTATTATTAATTATGTCAACTCTTGTCGACAAAGTATAAGAGGTCTGGGGAAGCTAGGTATAACTTTCAACTCATAATTCCCTTTCTTGACCAAATAACTATTGATTTCTTAGCACAGCCCAGCCACATTAAATCAGGATCTTTAGAGGTAGGACCTAGGCATCAGTACTTTTTAAAGCTCCTTGGGTGATTTTAATGTTCAGTCAATGTTGAGACCACTGTTTTCTTCTATTAATTTACTCCCTCCCATAAACAATTAGAATCCATGAAAAATTCCTCTATATGAGAACATCTTTGCCTGACACTTTCACAATTCAATTTAATAAAACAGCTGCTGAGTGCCTATGAGGTACAAGGAACTATGCTGATTGTTGTGGGAGGACCGTTAAATTAAACCATATATTATCTTGGCCTTAAGGAACTACAATATAGTAGGAGAGAAAAGGATATTAACTTATAATACTAAAAGGCATGAGGGATATGAGGGAGGTGCAAACAATGCTATAGGAACACACACCGTAGAGAAATTAATTTCTCAAGCAAACACTTCACTGAACATTATCTGATAGTGAAACTCAAATATGACTGATGTTAAAGCAGGAAGACAAATATAAACTAACATATTCATTTTACCTGGCAGTACCAGTAAGTTCAATAACTTTTTGCCTTTTTAAATCTGCTTCATATGTGGCTGCTTCACATTTTTCCTCCATTTTTCTCAACTTTTCAGCTGAACTTTCCCTTTGTTTCTGAAGCTCTTGTTCAAGTTTTGATACCTTGTAAAGCAATTTTCAGTTAAGTATTTTAAATTCAAACACAGTTCAACATTTTTCAGAAGAAAAATATTTATATAAATTTGTAGCCTAGCCTATCAGTTTCAAGATGTTATTACAAAAATCAAAGTATAGACCGAGAAACACCGTTTTGAAAATATGAAAGCAAAACAATTTTTAATAAGATATTTCATTCACACACATATTTATAGAAGTGACCACATCATAACACTAAAATAGGACTTAAAAGAATTGTACAGAATAATGGTAAATGTTGCTCTTTTCATCATCCTCATCTGAAATGCTCTTTCTTCTCTTGTCAAACTATGTTTCTTTCCTTCTTCACAAATTGGCTCATACCAATTCCTAGAATTCCCATCTGCCCTCAAAACGTTACAACTTGCATTTGCTCCTATTCATTCCTCCTGTTTTACTACATTGCAGGAGGTATTCTTCCTCCTATATAAGTCAAACTGCTTCATAGGCATTCTGGATTCAACTCCAATCCACTTTTTAAGGAACCTCACACTATTACCTCTACTCTCTGCTATATCTTCAATCTCTCTTTCTTCTGGTTTCTTTATATTAGCATTTAAACATGTTCAAGACCTTCCTATCATAAAAAACTTTCCTCCACACCTCTACCTCCTTCCGACTACCACCATTTCTTTCCTCCTCTTTATAGCCCAACTTCTCAGATTTTTTCTATGCTTGTTGTATCATTTTTCTCACTTTCTCATTCATTCCTCAACCCATAGCAATCTAGACACTGTACAGAAACTACACTGTGTCACCAATGGCTTCCATGCAGCTAATTCCAATGGATATTTCTCAACTCTTAATTTACTTGACACTGATTGTAGCAGCCCATGACACCAATTATCATCCCTTAAGTCATGAAATACTTACTTTGGCTTCCAGGTACTGTATCCTTCAGAGCTCTGTCAAAGTCAGGCATCTCACCCCTCATTCTATGTTCTCTCCCTAGTTAACCTCAGCCACTTCATTTTTTTTTTTTTTTCAATTTTTTTTTTTGGCTGCATTGGGTCTTCATTGCTGCACGCAGGCTTTCTCTAATGGCAGCGAGCGGGGGCTACTCTTCGTTGCGGTGCACGGGCTTCTCATTGCAGTGGCTTCTCTTGCTGCGGAGCACGGGCTCTAGGCGTGCAGGCTTCAGTAGTTGCAGCATGTGGGCTCAGTAGTTGCAGCAGTGGGCCCTAGAGCACGCGAGCTTCAGTAGTTGCGGCACGTGGGCTCCTTGTTGCGGCGCGCAGGCTCTAGGGCACGTAGGCATCAGCAGTTGTGGCTTGTGGGCTCTAGAGCACAGGATTGGTAGTTGTGGCGCACGGACTTAGTTGCTCTGTGGAATGTGGGATCTTCCCATACCAGGGATCGAAGCCATGTCCCCTGCATTGGCAGGTGGATTCTTAACCACTGTGCCACCAGGGAAGTCCCACTTCATATTTTCAATGAACATTTACATGACTGTGATCTCAAAGTTAATATCTGGCTAATGACTTTGATATCCTCCCTGCTCTTCTAAAACCTCTCATTGAAGAACTAAGTACAGATTATAAGTCATTAATATCCACACCCCCAACTTAAGTTCCAAATATAAAATTAAAATAGTACCCAGGTAAAAAGGGAAGGGAACTATGGAAAATCTACCCATTCTGTGTTTGATTAAATGGCACACTCATAAGCAGAAAGAATCTAAAGATAACAATCTGAATAAATCCAACACGGAACCTGTGCATAGTGGAACATGAATAAAAAGTAGAAAAAATATATGCTGGAAAATTTATTCCAAATACTGAAGGAATTTTTAGATATAAACTTTTTAGACCCTCAAATAAATTAAACAAGACATAAAAATCTCTTAAAACAAAGATCATGAAGAAATAAAATAACCAAATGAAAAATACAAAGGAATTGATAGACTTAAGGAAAAAAAACTCAGAAGAAAACTGTAAGACCGTTATAGAAATGAAAACAATTTCAGAAAGAACAAGAATTATAATCAATCTTACAAAAACTGGAGTCAATGACAAGGGATTTAGAAAGTGGGAATCAAATAACAGATGAGATGAAGAAATGCCTCAGGATGAAGCTGTACAACAGGCATAGCAAACAGTAGGTCTAGACTTGAACAAAAGAGATAGAGAGCCACAGGACAGATGTCTCTAAAAAAGAAAATACAGAATACCTGCCTGATATATTTGAATGTGCAGAGAAGAGATTCTTTAGTTCCACTGGAGAGGCTGAGGATGAAGTTAGAATACACAGATTAAAAAGTCATACAAATGACAAAAAGGTGAGGTGTAGTGAGGTTACTGGGAACTATCATTTTCTAATTTATACTTTTCTGTAAAGTGTGATGAGAGGAAAACAAAACAAAAAATGTGAAATATCTGTCAGAATAATTCAGATGAATTTGGTAATGAATGAAAGAGAAAAGATTCGATTCTAGAATAAAATTTCCTAGGATTCTTTCTTTGGAGTAATAACTTATTTTTTAAAATGAGTAGTTTCCTTTGGGATTTTTCTTTTAGTGCATTGCTTGGCATTTCTTTAGGGATTATCACACATCTCCTGATCCAAAATGAAGAAATTGAAAGCTATAATGATTCAGATAGGTATTATATTCAGGTCCAAAAAGGAAAAACTGAATAAAGAAGACTAAATTATAACTAAGTTGGATGGAGTGACAAAAATGTGTCCACGGTATTACACGATCACATTACATTGGAATAAAACTTTATACATTTTACAATGTTGATTTAGAATATTTCTTATAATATGGTATCTTTGAGGTTAAACAGCAATTTACATAACTAGCAAAAAATCTATTATCAATTTTAAAAAATTTCTATTTCATAAAACCATTTTGACCAGTAATATATACCTGTTTTTCAAGTTTAGTTTGAATGTCTTCTAGCTCTCCATTTCTAAATGTCTCTTGTTGTAACATTTGCTGCTGTTGTTGAAGAGTATGCTGCAGGATAACATTTTGCTCAGTAGTCTCTTGAAGACTGTGATTTTTAATCTTCAGCTCTTTCTGTAAACAATATACCTAACAAATATACACATTTCTCATTATAATGACATATTTCAAATAAAAAGCAATAAAATGTCAATGTTGTCTACCTTATTAGATAATTACCCTCACTTGTCATATGGGACAATTGTATTCACAGCTATAATTTATTATGTGGAAGGGCAGGGCTCATTTTTCTGATGGGGAGGTATGTTAGAAGGGCCTGTTGATAGGGTTGGTTCTTGGCTGATGTCTGGGAATGTGGCTTTTGAAATATTCCTTAAGTGATGAGACTGTTTTCCCTGGCTAGGGCACCAAATCATGCTTTCCTTCTAGGAGCTTGGAATTCTGATACTTATGGCTGTTCTTATGTGACCAGCCCCCAATAAAAAACCTTGAACTTTGAGTCATAAGCAGGCTTCCCTGGGCAGAAGTACTGCATAAATGTTGCTGCATTTCACTGCTACAGAAAGGAGCTTATTCTGCGTGACTTCTCCCAGAACAAGGGAGAAAACATAGGAAGCCATGGATTTCTTCACACTCCATTTGATATATCTTTTTCTCTTATTGATAATAAACCATAACCATGAAAACACTGTATAAATGTTAGGTGCTATTTAGTACATTACTGTTGCTATCATTGCCATTGTTTGTAAAATAATATCCCAGCAAGCACTCTTGAATATTCACGCTCCAAAAAACATACACGAAAACAATACCAACTAAGAAATTGCACTTATTCACTCCGAATATTTAGGACTTGAATATGCTGATCCCCCAAATTGCTTTAAATGAAACCTTTAGAGTTATCTGGGAGAACCTATTAAGAAGGAAAAAAAATGCCCTTTGTCCAAGAAATCCAAATCCTAAAAAGTGCCAAAAGACATCATTTTAAAATTCTATAAATAATACAGCATAATTTCATATATATTTCATAATATTTGTTACCTGTTCCTAAAGTAAGGGGAAGGTTTACTAAATGATGATATATAAATCTGATTTTAAAAGATGCAACCATTTAGGGCTTCCCTGGTGGCGCAGTGATTGAGGGTCCGCCCGCCAATGTGGGGGACGCGGGTTCGTGCCCCGGTCCGGGAGGATCCCACATGCCGTGGAGCAGCTTGGCCCATGAGCCATGGCCACTAAGCCTGCACGTCCAGAGCCTGTGCTCCGCAATGGGAGAGGCCGCAACAGTCAGAGGCCCGCGTGCCGCAAAAAAAAAAAAAAAGATGCAACCATTTAAAATCACAGTTTAGGGAGTTCACTGGTGGCCTAGTGGCCCAGGTTCAATCCCTGGCTGGGGAACTGAGATCCTGCAAGCCACATGGCATGGCCAAAAAAAAAAAAAAAAAAAAAAAATCATAATTTAAAGGACAGTGGCAAATAAATTTTACAAAATAAAGTGAAAAAAAATCCCACATTTCATTAATATGAAAAACACTCAGGCAAATAGAAAAGTGAAAAGTATTAGAGAGTATTAGTATTAGAGAGTGGATTGTAAATAAATCTTCTTCAAAAGATTTCTTATTGTTGCTTATGTAATAACTTTTTAAAATGAAGGAAAATAAACCCATCCCTTTAAAGCAAACAATCTTTCTAATAAATATCAATCCAGAAGAAAGTAATTTTAAACTCCTAAGAAACAGTGCAGAAGAATCCTGACTTGGTTTTTTCTAATTATACAGCAGTGGAATATTCAGCAGCATCATGAAAGGCTTAGGGGCCAAATAGCCTTTGCTTATGATAAGAAGCTCTTAAATTTCAAACTTCTTCATTATATGATGACACTGTAAACTTAGAGAACCTTACATATAACAGGCAACTATCCAATTTCTAATATTATTATAATTCTTTTTAATGCTAATTATTTTACTTAATGTTGTCTGTATGAAAATAATTTATTTAGTGTAAATAGGTATCAGTGACACCTGTTTTGTTTTTCCTGCTAGCTCCTGAGAAAACTACAGATCACATCTCTGCTGTAGTTTATTTTATATAGAACGGACTTGCCTATAAGTTTATATACTATTCTTTGTTTACTGGAACATGCTGTCTTATACTTACTTTCCTAATCAAAAAAAAAAAATGGACAAAGTATTAAAATAAGAAAAACTATTAGAAAAAAGATAAGGCCTAACCAAAACACTAAGAAAGTCATACCACATAAGAACAATTAAAAAATTTATTTTAGTAATCTAGCCACTAGCAAAATAATTTCCGTTAAAAATACTGAAGTATCTAACATATTAGTTGTATCACAAATATTAATTCACAAAAATTAACCTACATCTATCTAATTTATACTGGCATTTCACTCTACTACCCTTTAACTTCCACTTGAGTTTAAAAGTAAATATAAGACAAATAGTTTTGACATTATATTCTCTACTAAGTTATTATCATATTCAGAGAATAAACTTTTCCTAAAGAATTCATTATTTTATAATTAAAGTCAAGAAGAAAGTAGAATTTACATTATAATATCTACTTTACAATTAGCTTTATCTAATATTAATGTATATCCAAAAACGCTCTCATGATTATTACTAAAAAATAAAATATAACCCAGAAAAGTTACTGACACAATGCCAACTTTGCAAAATTTAAGTCCATCAATTTGAATAAAGACATTTATCAATAAAATGACTGATCGTGTTGAATAAATGCTTTACGCAGAAAATGTTTTGGCTTATTCACGTCTATTTTGTGTTTATTTTCTTCTATCATGTTGACAATGTAATTCTGCATGAACACATACATTATCACTTTTTAAAGCATTTTAATACAAATTAAAATATTTTCAAAATAATTCAGGACCCCCAAGTCACTATTATTTTCATCATAAATTTATTTATTTCAACATATGGAAAAGAATATTTGCCTGAGGCAAAAACTCAGGGGCATATTTATTAGCTTTGTGTGGTGGGTTATCAACATGTAGTTCTTTCAGCTGGCTTTCTATCTATATGCTCTGGGGCCATTTAATTATTCAGCTAGTATGTGATTCGGGACTGCCTACTGATTTGGTAAAATATCTTTATAACATCACGTATTACTAACAGAATGGATGCACTATGAATTAAATCACATTTTCTAAAACCTAGCTACATATGATGAAAATCTCATAACTCTGCTGTTATAAGATATTAATTCTATTAACCAGCATTAGAAAGAGTTTTCTCTGTAAGATATTATAATTTGCTCTAAAGACAAATAAGCCAAAACTAAATAAATGTATGGATTGGTACCTAAAAAAAAAAAAGGTAAAGAGTAATTGGATTTTTCTCCATGTTTCTTATCAACACACAAGAAGTGAAAGATGATCTTTTAAGTAAGTAAGCCAATGCACATGCAGTTGAGCTAATAATTCATCAGCAATAAAAGGGCTGCAAATCTTTCTAATTTACTTACTTACTTTTTCTCTAGTATTGTTGTATAAACATGACTACCATTTCTGATTTCTAATTCAGTTCCAGCCTAGGTTTATACTTCCTGCTATTCTGAAAAAAGTTCTAAGTTCATTTTGGGTAAATGCCTCTTATCCACCCAAGTCTCTGATGCTATTTCTAAGAATACAAATTCTAAAACTCAACAAACTCTCTGATTACAAACACTGCCTGTCTCCAGATTCCATCTCTGCCAAGTCCATTTATGCTGGAGTGCAGTGAGGGCTATAGAATTTAAATGCCTAAATAGGGACTTTCCTGGCAGTCCAGTGGTTAAGACTCTGAGCTCCCACTGCAGGCGGCATAGGTTTGATCCCTGGTCAGGGAATTAAGATCCCGCATGCTGCAGGGTGCGGCCAAAAAATAAGTAAATAAAAATTAAAAAATGCCTAAATAATGGTTTAAAGAAGATCCCGCTGGAAAAAAAAATCACACTCCTATTCTAAAAAGTATAAGTATCTATAGTTTAGGTGGTTTAATTTCCATATATTGGAATACAGAAATATATGCCCACCTGTGAAAGATGCTATAAAAACCTTCATGAGGGGAAGTAGAAGGAAGAAGACAGGTCCATATAAAATACAAAGTTTTTGTTTTAACCTCTGAAGTTATATAATTATGTGATGCTTTTTTTTTTTTTGCGGTACGCGGGCCTCTCACCGTTGTGGCCTCTCCCGTTGCGGAGCACAGGCTGCGGACGCGCAGGCTCAGCGGCCATGGCTCACGGGCCTGGCCGCTCCGCGGCATGTGGGATCGTCCCGGACCAGGGCATGAACCCATGTCCCCTGCATCGGCAGGCGGACTCTCAACCACTGCGCCACCAGGGAAGCCCTGTGATGCATCTCTGATGAAGATTTGTTGACTTTTTTTTTTTTTTAAAGAAAGGTTCGTTGTTTTTTTTTTAAATTTTATTTATTTTTTATCTTTGGCTGTGTTGGGTCTTTGTTGCTGTGCCCAGGCTTTCTCTAGTTCCAGCGAGCGAGGGCTACTCTTCGTTGCGGTGCACAAGCTTCTCATTGCGCTGGCTTCTCTTGTTGCAGAGCACAGGCTCTAGGTGTGTGGGCTTCAGTAGTTGTCGAACACAGGCTCAGTAGTTGTGGTTCGCAGGCTCTAGAGCGCAGGCTCAGTAGTTGTGGCGCACGGGTTTAGTTGCTCTGTGGCATGTGGGATCTTCCTGGACTAGGGCTCGAACCCGTGTCCCCTGCATTGGCAGGAGGATTCTTAACCACTGTGCCACCAGGGAAGTCCAATTTGTTGATTATTTCTAAACATGAAGTTAAGGTTTAAATATATATATTATAAATTCTAACAAAGAAATAAAGGAATTCTTCATTAAGATTATTCCTTTCAGCAAATATTTAGTGACTACCTATTATGTTGAAAGCAAAGTGGTTGACAATGAGTATATAGAGATGAATAAGATAATTCAAGAAAAGTCTTCTATCTAGTATCTGAGAAACTCTTCTCAATAAAGAAAGTTGAATTTATAAACCTAATTCTCAATCCTTCAAATAGAGGAAGAAAAAACAAAATGGAAAAATTTTGAAGAATTTTATACCTCTAAATCTAAAACAATATTCTAAGTGTTAATCATTTTATATTAGAATTACTGTGATCAACAATAATCTCCTGATTCCCTAAAAATAGGTAATAGAATTAGAATTTTAAGGTGTCATATTTTGTGTTTTATATGTCATATGATGTTTGTTTCTTAAAGAATATAAAATTGGGGACTTCCATGGTGGCATAGTGGTTGGGAATCCGCCTGTGAACTCAGGGGACATGGGTTTGATCCCTGGTCTGGGAAGATCCCACATGCCGCAGAGCAGCTAAGCCCGTGCACCACAACTACTGAGCCTGCACTCTGGAGCCCGTGCACCACATCTACTGAGCCCGCATGCCACAACTGCTGAAGCCTGCGTGCCTAGAGCCCATGCTCTGCAACAAGAGAAGCCACTGCAATGAGAAGCCCGCACACTGCAATGAAGAGTAGCCCCCACTCTCCTCAACTAGAGAAAGTCCATAAGCAGCAATGAAGACCCAACACAGCCATAAATAAATAAATAAATTTATTTTTTTAAAAAAGAATATAAAATTGGAGTTTACGTTTTACTGGAAAATTTTTTTTATATCAGCTATATAAAAATGTACTTTTAAAGTATCTTGAAAATAAACAATATCTCAAAAAGAAATCACTTGAAAAATATGCTATATTTAAAGGAAATGTTAATTTACTTCTTCAGATTTCTTCTTTAGCTGTTTTTCAAACTTTTCTTTATTTCCTTCCAATTGGTTCAAATGCAAAGCAAGTTCTTCCTTACAAATTTCCAATGCTGAATCTAGTTGTCTGACCTAAGCAGAAAAAAAGCAAAAAAGGAAAATCAACCAGTACTAATGCGTGCTTATTATATGCTCAATATTTTACAGCGTTATCTCCTAATGTTACCTCACTGCTTCAACCAGTGAATATACAGTCCAACTTAGGATATAAAATGCTATTAAAGAAGAGATTTATTTAGAAAACTAATTATTACTGCAAACTAGGAAACCAAAGAGGAAACCAGTACCTGGAGTCCTGAAGAATAAATGGACATGAACAAGTGAAGAAGGGCATTCTAGGAAGAGGGGAGTACATTCAGAGGCAAAGCACTGTGAAAAGGAATGGTAAGAAGTTGGCAGGAGCTTAGGGTACCAAAACCATGAATTTGTAAGAGATGGGTACTGGAAGGGTGGGATTAGCAAGATAGACTGGGGCCAATTGTCAAGGACCTGCAGGCCAGACACCCTGAAACATTTACCTAAAAAGGTAAGCAGTATTTAAACCTATTCCTTAAGTTCCCTTGATCAAGAAAAATAATAAAGTGAGTACAAACTGGAGTATTGTGTTAAAAATGCTATAGTGCGAATATTCTGAATATGCTGAAGTCACTAAGAAAATGAAATGTTTTTGTTGGCTAATGAAAAACAAACTTAGACGGAGAAGGCTGCTTTTGCTCTGAATCAGTGAAAACATTTTCAGAAAGGCAGCAATGTAACTTGGTTCAAGTGTTCATAAAGCTGCAAATGCTTCACGCTACCTCAACATTAAAGAGCGAATGAGCAAAGAGCAACTCAAATTCAGTAAAATTTTTCAGAATTTGCACACATGCTCCACATCCCATCTGTTAATAAGATTCATTCTTGTCTTGTTCCTTTCTTTTCCTTATTGTATTTCTGAGCTTCTCGGGAGTATTTTTTTTCTTTCCTCAACGCTAATAGCATTCTAGTAAGTAGTCATGAAAGTGTGAAAGAAATTTCAACAAGATAAGGAGAAAAAGAAAAATGTTCCCTCTTCCAGATACTATTCTACATCATGAAATTATCTTTGCAACTCTTATTTCTAAAAAGAGACACAACTGAAAGACACAGTTTTCAAAGCCTGTCCCTATAGCCTGTGAATATAACCATTAACAGTTAAAAAGCTTATAATTTTGATTAATTATCTTTGTTAATAAACTGTTGCCCTAATAATAATTTTTAAAGTCTTTTATGAGAGGTATAAATATTTACAGGTTTTCTCTATTAAGCATGAGAATAAGCATTGGTACTTGTATCATCTTCCACACACAGAAAAAAAAAACTGACCGTCAGAACATCACATGTGATAAAAATTAACAACGTAAAAACTCAATCAGGCAAGATTCATCACTAGATGTTAAAACCATTGGTCATTAGTTTGTTGAGGGACAGGACTTTGAACATGGCCTCAAAGAATCACCCTATGTATTGCTTATTAATTATAAAGGAAAAATTATGCCCTTAAAATAGTGAGATCTGGCAGTAACCACCTTAAATAATAGGTGTCAAGATTGGCAAAGCCAATAATGGGGTGATGTGAAATTATGTGCCTCCTGATGTGAAGCAGTGGGAAGGACACTGTATAACCCACAGTATAATCCACAATTGTGGTGTGTGTGCTATTATGGTTGACCTAGACTTTTCCAAAGATTCAGTGTCGTGAAGAATAGGAGACAGTGAGTTTAGGGGAATCTAAAAAGCCAAAAGCAAAACATGAATTATGACTGCATTCTAAATTGGGGAAAGAAAAGGAACAAGCTAAAGTAGTGTTTCTCACAATTTAATGTTCACACAAATCACCTGGACACCTTAATTCAGAACCAGAGCCAGGTCTAGGGTGAGACAAAGGAGGTTCTAGGGCTCAAAGTTTAAGGAGGTACTCACTCAGGATCATGCAAATGCCTACCCTTCACTTGTACAACCTGGAGAATAAATGTCTCCTTAAATTGTATGCCAGAGGCACTCCCTTGCTTCACTTTAGTCCCAGCTCTGTTCAGTAGATCAGATATTCTGCAAGTCAAACAAGTTCCCGGGTGATAGTGATGCTGCTAGACCATGCTTTGAGTAGCAAGATTATTAAGAACATTTTTAAATAATTGGGAAATTTTCAGTATGGACAGTATGTTGAATAGTGTTACTGAATTAATGTTGACTTTCTGTGGTGTATAGAGATGGTGTAATCAGGTAGGAGAAAGTTTCTATACATATGAGACCCAAGTTTAAGTATTAAGGGTGTAAAGTATCATGACATCTGCAGCCTTCTCACAGGTGGACTAGCAAAAAGGAAATGTGTGAGTGGCGGTGGGACTGGGTGGGTGCATGTGCATGTGTGTGCAGAGAGATGAAGTGAGTATGGTTAGAGTTTAAAAGACAGTAAATCTAAATGAAAGGACACAGCTGTTCTCTGTACTAGTCTTTCATTTTGTAGGTTTGAAACTTTTTATAATAAAACAATTAAAAATAAATTAAAACTAATAAATAATAAAAACCAAAATATCTACTACTCTGTTGGAATTCTCATTTGAACAAAGAGCTTGAGACTCTAAATCTCATACAAATAAACATCATTCACTGTGTACAAACCACTCATAAATATACATGTATATATATGTACATGAATGAATAGAATCAAAACAAAGACACTGCTCTGCTAAACCAAAGAACCTCCTCGGGGGCATATTCTGGAGGCAACCACATAGGGGCTCTACGCTACCTACTTTCAACAGAAGCACCTAAGCTAGTCTTTGTTTATTTTTTTTTCTATTTATAACTTTAACTTTCTTTGGGGAAATAAAACACACACAAAAATCTAGAGTGGAAAATAAAACCAAAGCAAAACAAATAAAATAAACAAATGAAATCGCTAATAAGTACCTTCTCAATTTTCTATTTAATAGCAGCTAACATAATTGCTTTATTGGTTTTTTTGTTACCAGTTCATAAACTTCCCATCAGTCTTCCAGCTATCATTATCATACTTCTATAAGTGATATAAGTTTAAACTTATAGATCCTTATAACTCTCCTGCAGATAGAAAATTTCAAAATTTTTATGCAAAGAACAAACTGAGGCATGCAGAAGGACATGGCCAAAAGTCAAGAAAGAAGGTGGTAATGACATAATCAAGAAAAGAGGAATATACTTCAAACTTCTATTTGATATGTTAGAATCATTTAGGGAATTCCCTGGCAGTCAACTGGTTAGGACTTGGTGCTTTCGCTGCTGAGGGCCCAGGTTCCACCCCTGGCAGGGAACTAAGATCCCACAGACTGCACAGTGCATCTCAAAGAAAAAGAAAAAAAAAAAAAAAAGAAAAAGAAAGAAAGAAAAGAATCATTTAGTATAGCTTCAATGAAAGCAAATCTACTAAAGGTACCAAAGGAATAAAACCTAACACCATAATTCATTCTTTAGCTGATTTCCTTCCTGTCTCATATCTGATTATTAACAAATGAAAATAACTTACCAGATGACTGGCTAGATGTGTTAGGTAATTTAATGAAAAACAGGAGTTAAGTGGCAAGATGGATTTTTTTAAATGAAATTATATCATGCCTACAACCTTTGTACAATAATGATTTTTTAAATATTAATGATCTTAGAGGTAATTTTTACATGAGGAAATGAACTGACATGGCATTAAATGTTAAAAGTTTTGGAGAATACTATAGGAAAGTTATGGATAAACATATAATTGGGTTTACGAGGGTATACATGGTCACAAAATGGATGAAAAACAGAGTACTAGGCAAAAAGTAAATAACATTGGATTTTTAAAATATCCTTTATATTTAATCCATATATAACAGAATGAAGGTCACAGCATATTTGAAGCTATTTTTAGCACTAAAAATGCAAAGAAGAAAACACTGAATATATGGTAATTACTTAGCAAACTCTGAGTAACTTAGTATGTGTTAAGTATTTTATGTACCTCATTTCATTTAATCCTCAAACCCACCCTCTTCTAGGGCATTGTGATCCCTATTTTACTGATGAAGAAATTAACGTTCAGAGTTTAAATAACCTAGCCAAGGTTACAGTCAGTTAATAAGTACACTGAAGCCAGAACTAAAACCTAAGTCAGTTTAGCTTCAAAGCCCATACTTTTAACCATAAGGTTATCCTAGCCACAAAACTGTATTTTACCCCAAAATTCTGGATTTATTCCCTATTTAATCATATAGCAGAACTAGTAAAAAGAAGCAAAACTGTATTGTTTATAGTTTCACCTCTCTTCACTTCCTTTGTTAATTTTTTTACTGGTAACGTTAGTAAGTAGCTACAGTTTAAAAAACACATTTTTTGTTAAAAAATCTTTCTTAAGGTATTATAAAAAGAAAAGTTAGATAATCTACAGACTAGATTATCAACTATCAAATAATTAAGATCATAATTCACAATGAAAAATATACTACTTAAAGAAACTAAGTTCATTGACTTAGGTAAAATTTTTACCACTTTATTTTTATGTAAACTTTTTTTTACAATTTATAGAGAAAACTAAAAAGCCACAGGAATGTCTCCATTAAGAAAAAAAGAAAAATTTTTAAAGTATTAGCATACTAGCCTTGATTGTTTCTTCAGATACTTGGTTCTGTAATATTTTCAAAGCTTCATCTTTCTTCATATTTTCCTTTTCCATTTCCTGAAAACATACAGATTGGTAGCAAAAATATACGTACGTGTATAAATATTTTAGCATTAGTAACAGGTTGTTAAACAACTGATTTGACTAGAATTAAAGGTATGTTAAAGAAACATAAACTTAAAATATTGGTCAGCTTTTAAACAGCACTTTTTTATAAAGATGATTTTACCCCTTTGCTTTCCGTCAAGAGTCTGTCTAGTGATTCAAGGTGATGTTGTTTACATATTATATCTTGCTGCAACATGGATATTGTCTTTTCTTGTTCTTTAAATTGTTGTTCTTTTTTCTCTAGTTGAGATTCAAGCTAAACATAGAAACAGGATTTATTAATTTTCATATTAATTTTTTTTAATCTGAAACATTTTAAATACAGTCAACCCTTGAACAAGACAGTTTTAAACTGAGTCCACTTATACATGGATTCTTTTCAATAAATATGTACTACAGCACTACACCATCAGCGGTTGGCTGAATCCACAGATGGGAACTATGGAAAGGAAGGGTTGACTGTAAAGTTATATGTGGATTTTCAACTGCACAGGGTTGGCACCCCTAACTCCCAAATTGTTCAAGGGTCAACTGTACACAGAAAAAAACATAACACTCACAATTTAAATTACTACTGAAATTACATAGCTTATTGTATTCTGCCAAATTTCCTTCAGTTTCTCTCCTTTTAGAGAAGAAATGAAATCACAAGTCCATATCTTATCCCTTCCCTCCCTCACCAATACTATGGTCCCTCCCTCACCAATACTATGTTGAAATTGTTCTATATCATTCTCTGGTGTGTTTCATTCTCATACATGTTTTTTGTGCTTTTAACTATATATGTAGATCCATGAACAATATGTAACATAATTTTGTTTTGAAAATTCACACAGACAATATCAACACTTTTGCAAGTTTCAGCAACTTATTTTTTTTCTCTTAATATTGTTTTAAATATTTATCCATGTATCCATATGTGGATCTAGTTCATATTTTTATGATAATACAGTATTCCATCATAACAACAAACTAGTCTGTTCACTCTTCTACTCAGAAACAGTTAGATATTGCTTTTTCACTATTATGATGTTACAATAACATCCTTTGTACATGTCTCTTTATACACATGTATGGGGGTTTCTTTACAACATACCACCTAGAAGTGGACTTCCTGGTTGTAGGATATGCACATTTCTAACTTCATTAGGTATTTCTCTTCAAAGTGCATCAAAATTTATACTTTCACTAGAAATGTGTAAGTCTCACTCCTTACAACTTCACCACTAATTGACTGGTGTTATCAAATGTCCAAAAAACTTTTGTGAAGACAAAACATGAGTAAACTGATATGTTTATATGTATATTTGTGCATATTATATACACAAGTATATAAAAATTATACATATGTGATAATAGCAGCAACAGGTTAACTAGAAAATACTAAAACCAAAGAACTGTGAAATGAAAACACTCAAATGAAAATAAATTACACATCAGAAATTAGAGGAACAGAAAGAAAAAAGATTGAAGAAAGTGAACAGAACATAAGGGACCTGTTGGACACCATCAAGCACACCAGTATGCACATCATGGAAGTCCCAGAAGGAAGGGAGAAAGAGAGAGACAATATTTGAAGAAATAATGACTGAAAATGTCCCAAATTCGATGAAATAATGATATAAACATCCAAGAATCTCAACAAAATCCAAGTAAGTTGAACTCAAAAAGACCCACAATGAGACACATTATAATCAAACTTTCAAAAGACAATGACAAGAACTTCCCTGGTGGTCTAGTGATTAAGACTCCAAGCTCCCAACACAGGGGGCACGGGTTTGATCCCTGGCCCCCTGGTCGGGGAACTAAGATCCCACATGCCACGTAGCACAGACAAAAAAAAAAAAAGAATAAGAAAAAGACAATGACAAAGAGAGAATCTTGAAGCAGCAAGAGATAAGCAAATCATCACATATAAGGGATCCTCAATAAGATTACATGCAGATTTCTCATCAGAAACTTTGAGGGTCAGGAGACAGTAGGCTGATATTCAAAAGAAAAAAAATAACTGTCCATGAAGAATCCTCTATCTGGCAAAACTGTTCTTCAAAAGTGAGGGAGGAATTAAGACATTCTCAGGTAAAAGTTGAGGGAGGCTGTGACCATTAGACATGTCCCGCTAGAAATACTCAAGGGAATTCTGTAAGGTGAAATGAAAGAACACTAGATAGTAACCTGAAGTCATACGAGAAATTAAAATCTTCATAAAGATAAATACATGGGCAATTGTAAAGCCTAACATTATCGTAACAATGGATTGTAACTTCCACTTTTTGTTTTCTAAATGATTTAAGAGACTAATACATATAAAGGAAAAAAAAGTTATTAGTCAAAAGTTAGTATTACTGTAACTTTAGTTTGTGACTCCAAATCTTGTTTTCTACAAAAGAGACTAATCCTTTTGAAGGAATTACCAGTTTGTCTTGGGGCACACAATGTACAAAGACGTAAGTTTGTGACAAAAGGTGTGGAGATAAAGCTATAAAGGAATAGAGTTTTTGAAATTAGAGTGGCATAAATTCAAATTAGAGTGTTATAACTTTAGGATGTTAAATGTAATCCCCATGGTAACCACAAAGAAAATAGCCATAAAATATAGACAAATGGAAATGAATTTTAAAATTTCAGTACAAAAAATCAACTAAATTCAAAAGAAGACAGTTATCTAGGAAAAGAGGGATAAAAAAGCTAGAAGGCATATAGAAAAAGAAAAGCAAGATGACAGAAGTCCCTCCTTATCAGTAATTACTTTAAATGTAAATGGATTAAACTCTCCGAGGCACAGATTGGTAGAATGGAGAAAAGCACACATCCACCTATATGTTGTCTGCAAGACACTCATTTTTTCATTTTATTTTTTTGAATTTTATTTATTTTTTTATACAGCAGGTTCTTATTAGTCATTAATTTTATACACATCAGTGTATACATGTCAATCCCAATAGCACAATTCATCAAACCACCATCCCCATCCCCCTGCGGCTTTCCCCCCTTGGTGCCCATACGTTTGTTCTCTACATTTGTGTCTCAACTTCTGTCCTGGAAACCGGTTCATCTGTACCATTTTTCTAGGTTCCACATACATGTGTTAATATACGATATTTGTTTTTCTCTTTCTGACTTCACTCTGTATGACAGTCTCTAGATCCATCCACGTCTCAACAAATGACCCAATTTCGTTCCTTTTTATGGCTGAGTAATATTCCATTGTATATATGTACCACAACTTCTTTATCCATTCGTGTATGGATGGGCATTTAGTTTGCTTCCGTGACCTGGCTATTGTAAATAGTGCTGCAATGAACATTGGGGTGCATGTGTCTTTTTGAATTATGGTTTTCTCTGCAGTAGTGGGATTGCTGGGTCATATGGTAATTCTATTTTTAGTTTTTTAAGGAACCTCCACACTGTTCTCCATAGTGGCTGTATCAATTTACATTCCCACCAACAGTGCAAGAGGGTTGCCTTTTCTCCACACCCTCTCCAGCATTTGTTGTTTGTAGATTTTCTGATGATGCCCATTCTAACTGGTGTGAGGTGATACCTCATTGTAGTTTTGATTTACATTTCTCTAATAATTAGTGATGTTGAGTAGCTTTTCATGTGCTTCTTGGCCATCTGTATGTCTTCTTTGGAGAAATGTCTATTTAGGTCTTCTGCGTATTTTTGGATTGGGTTGTTGATTTCTTTAATGTTGAGCTGCATGAGCTGTTTATATATTTTGAAGATTCATCTTTTTTTTTTTTTTTTTTTTGCGGTATGTGGGCCTCTCACTGTTGTGGCCTCTCCCGTTGTGGAGCACAGGCTCTGGACGTGCAGGCTCAGCGGCCATGGCTCATGGGCCTAGCCGCTCCGCGGCATGTGGGATCTTCCTGGACCGGGGCACGAACCCGTGTCCCCTGCATCGGCAGGCGGACTCTCAACCACTGCGCCACCAGGGAAGCCCTGGAGATTAATCCTTTGTCCGTTGATTCGTTTGCAAATATTTTCTCCCATTCTGAGGGTTGTCTTTTCGTCTTGTTTATGGTTTCCTTTGGTGTGAAAAAGCTTTTAAGTTTCATTAGGTCCCATTTGTTTATTTTTGTTTCTATTTCCATTACTCTAGGAGGTGGATCAAAAAGGATCTTGCTGTGATTTATGTCAAAGAGTGTTCTTCCTATGTTTTCCTCTAAGAGTTTCATAGTGTCCAGTCTTACATTTAGGTCTCGAATCCATTTTGAGTTTATTTTTGTGTATGGTGCTAGGGAATGTTCTAATTTCATTCTTTTACATGTAGCTGTCCAGTTTTCCCAGCACCACTTATTGAAGAGACTGTCTTTTCTCCATTGTGTATCCTTGCCTCCTTTGTCATAGATTAGTTGACCACAGGTGCGTGGGTTTACCTCTGGGATTTCTATCTTGTTCCACTGATCTATGTTTCTGTTTTTGTGCCAATACCATATTGTCTTGATTACTGTAGCTTTGTAGTATAGTCTGAAGTCAGGGAGTCTGATTCCTCCAGCTCCGTTCTTTTCCCTCAAGACTGCTTTGGCTATTCGGGGTCTTTTGTGTCTCCATATAAATTTTAAGACTTTTTATTCTAGGTCTGTAAAAAATGCCATTGGTAATTTGATAGGGATTGCATTGAACCTGTAGATTGCTTTGGGTAGTATAGTCATTTTCACAATATTGATTCTTCCAATCCAAGAACATGGTATATGTCTCCATCTGTTGGTACCACCTTTCTTTCATCAGTGTCTTATAGTTTTCTGCATACAGGTCTTTTGTCTCCCTAGGTAGGTTTATTCCTAGGTATTTTATTCTTTTTGTTGCAGTGGTAAATGGGAGTGTTTCCTTAATTTCTCTTTCAGATTTTTCATCATTAGTGTATAGGAATGCAAGAGATTTCTGTGCATTAATTTTGCATCCTGCAACTATACCAAATTCATTGATTAGCTCTACTAGTTTTCTGGTGGCATCTTTAGGATTCTCTATGTATAGTATCATGTCATCTGCAAACAGTGACAGTTTTACTTCTTCTTTTCCAACTTGTATTCCTTTTATTTCTTTTTCTTCTCTGATTGCCGTGGCTAGGACTTCCAAAACTATGTTGAATAAGAGTGGTGAAAGTGGACATCCTTGTCTTGTTCCTGATCTTAGAGGAAATGCTTTCAGTTTTTCACCATTGAGAATGATGTTTGCTGTGGGTTTGTCATATATGGCCTTTATTATGTTGAGGTAGGTTCCCTCTATGTCCACTTTCTGGAGATAAAATAG